ATAGACAAGGATAGTGCCGAAGAAGGTACCGACTCCGAGTCCGAAGAACCTCCACTCTAGGATAGGTTTTCAGCGAATAAGTCATAGTGATACGCGGAGGATTGTGCTATTTGCCTAAATTGGTCTACTAATCGGGTAGGTATAAAATATCGTGTCTAATCGTACGTTATCTAGTGGGTGAACTAATATAAGATATATAGTTAGTTTCGAATATGCTAGTAGTAATAGGACGAATAGATAGTTGCGATTCGTACCCTAAGCCAAAGATATCGATATCTTCTAGTAATATCTGTTAAATACCCTTCTATTAATAGTCTATTGTCTTCTGTTAGAGCCCCCTCGAAGAATTTTTCGGGGTAGTAAACCCGGCTCTATGCCTATCCTCTAATCAAAAAGTCCTCTGGTAACTATTATATAGTTAAATCATTAAGAAGTGGAAATAATTCATCTTCGATCTTCGAAATAATTGTATCGGGATCGAATAAGCTATTTAGGTAAGTTATAAGTAACGACCACAGAACTAGCGGTTCTAGTCTTTGTATAGCCGCTAGGTTAAGTGTGAGACACTATATAAATACTATAGAAATATATACGCTTAGATATATATTTGCGTCCCTAACTTAGCCTAGTATGATAATCAATATATAAAAAGCGAGAGAGCTTACCCAGAATAGAAGCTGAGATAAGAGGTCGCTATATATAGAATAGCTAGCTATAGTAGATACACCGGATACCTATCTTATTGCCGCTAGGCTATCTTCCGCTATAGGATTACGTAACTTCAATATAAAATCCGTTTCTATAACTCCATATTTACTTCTATATTGAAATATAGCGGAGATATTGTAAGATATAAAGAGAATACCTTATTGTCTCTTCCTACTTACTTAGCTAATCTCGTTATATAGAGTAGTAAGAAATATATTCGCCCGAGAAACAAACTTATCGACCGGAGCTTGTATAAGAAGCGTAGTGTAAGTAGTCACAAAAGAAGTAGTTAAATCCCCCTTCTAGCTCTATATATTTATTAGAGGAATTATTAGCTCGGTTATGCTATCGAAAGTAATTAGGAATACGCGCACGCTGATCAATACTTTTGTGTAGTAAAAAAGCTGCTAAAGAACGTCCGGGCGAGCTAAAATAGCAAGATAATACTGGATACGGCCATTTTCTTAGTTTCTGTCCTAGTTATACCAATACCTCGATATCCCTACCTAGAGTTCGCGGTCCTTCTTGTTAAATTCCTCCACAGCTATCTAGTACCGTGCTAGGTCGCCTAGACACTTAATCTAAGTATCTTTGAAATCCGGCACACATTCTAGTAGTAGTGCTATTATCGAGTATAAGAGATAGATAAAAATAAGTATATACTCTATCGAGCTAGGAAGCTTCTAGTATAATAGCTCTAAGAATAAATATACACTATACCGCTATATACGCGCCGGTATAGCGTACTTATCGGCTAAGACTTTAAGAATAGGACTAGCTAATAGGTATTAGGAGGCGAGGAAAAAATCATAGTACTAGTAAAGTAGTGTTTAGTGTAGTGAGATAAGCGTTTACCACTAAGGCTATAATAATTCGGCCTTTAATTATGCTTATTGCCTATCGATCTTAATACACTTCTTTTCCACTAGAACGAGACTAGTATAAATTTCCTTCACTTTATTAATTAGTTACTTCTCGGTAACAGGGTAGGTCCGTAGTTACTTGATCATTCCCTAAGGTTCTCCCCTAGCGCCTAAGTAGGAGTAGTTTTAGTCTTCTATACTACTATTTCCTATCTATTGATTGTGTTAGAGCTTGTTAACGTGACTAAAGAACGGCTAATTATCAGAGGTACCGTTAGAATTAGATAGGCTATATTAGAATAATACCGTTATACCCTCTATTTAGATAGCGATTGCTTTAAGGAAAGAAAGAGTTAGTAAATAGTTATATAAGCATTGAGTGTAAAATACCTAATAATTGTAGTTAACTTAAATAAGGGGCTAAATTATGATTTAGCCTTATAAGTAGGCAAAAATTAAAAGTCTAGAAGAGGGATAAGTAGAAACACTATTTATACTAAGGTTGAGTCTAAGGTACCTAAGAAACCCTATCTTTAGACTAGAACTTTATAGGGTTTACTACTAATCTATTATATCGGGCTTATTACCTCCTTCCTATTAGCTGTTGAAGTAATACGCTCTATCTCTAAGCTAGATAATCGGAGGGCGATTCCACTCGAACATAATCTCTCTATAATTATACCGAAGAAATTGTAGACTTATAGAATCACCTTACTATCTTCTAAGATGAGGATATTTCATTAGGCGTCGAGATTCCAGGGGAGGAATAGCTATAGGGAACTTTTATTGTAGGATTTACTAGGAGTTTGATACTACAGGGGCCAATCTAGTGTAGAAAATAGTATACTCCCTCCTAGTTAGTACGTTAATAGTAAACAAAATATATTCTTACTAATTATTAATCGGGGTGGGTATATAATAGCGAAGGGGAATAACTAGCACTTTCGGACTTATAGGTATATCTTTGGGTAGATTATGTGGTATATAAATTTAGGTGCTAGTTATATACGGTGTTGCTAGACATTCCTCTACTCTTGAAATTCTAGCCCTTACTACACTTTTTCTCTTATTAACACGAAATTATCTAGAGAAGTTTGATAATAAAGTTTGTTTATAAAAATAGGCTCGGAGTCTATTAAAGCGCTCTATTTAGGCCTTAAACCAGTCGATACCGCGTCGGTTATCTAAAGTATAGACTAATACCGCTACTCTATTATATTTAGATATCATATCACTCAAAGTATGAAACGCGGTCTCTTTATACAAACGACGGAACTCGGCGGCAAAAAGTGGATCGGAGCTTAATAACCGTAAATAACTTAGATCGGTATGGTTAGATTTAACTCTTTTAATAATAGCTTAGTCTACTACTAGGTTAAACTAGCCTTTGCTAAGTGGAATAGCAATAAAAACCTTGCTATTCTCCCCTAGCGGAATATCCGTGGTAAAATAAGCGAGGGCACTATATACGTCGGATTGTTAGTTAGAAAGATCGTATTCAAAATTAGAGTGGATACGTATAGTCTATATAGTTAGCTTTAGTAATATTCTGGTAGGCAAGGAGGATATACACTGACTTAGAGTGGTTCTATTTGAAAGAACTTCTAAGCTGGTCTCTACTAGCGTGGTTAGAATCCTTGGTGTTCGGTAGAACCCTAGCTTTTCTAAGGTATTAAGTAGCTTCTTAAAGGGGAGAAACTTATCTATAAGCAATAAATAGACACTACTAATAACGTATAAAAATGTCTAAAGGTTATATTATCCCAAAATAGTATAGCTTAGAATATATACCCTCTCTCTATTATATCCCTATTTGATCCGTATTGTTCACCGAGTATTCTGTGTATTATAACGCTGTGTTCCTTATCGCCACGTAGGTCTAAATTCTTCTAGCGCCTTCCTTATACTATCACTCTTTCCGAGTTTTTTATATCTATACCACCCGTTCTTAATTACAACACGTAGCTTTGCTTCGCTTAAAGCTAAAGCTCCCTAATACTCGATAGACAAAAATTTGGTAATATTTCCCTTTGGTGGCACGGGATCACTTGCTTTTCTATACAGCGAAGTGCTAAGACCTCTCCGCTAAGGTATATTAGATCTTCTCCTTGAATAGATACTCCACCACGATAAAGTCTTATATCTAGCGGGCTGCTTAGCTGTCCTTGTATATTCGGAGGGTTCCCTAAGGGAAGGGAATCCGGTAGTTCTGTTAGGTAATTTTTAGTGTCGGCCTAAGTAGTTAGTCAATTTATTTTAATCTGCTAAATAGAGCTTGCCTATACCTTCGAGACCCCGAAACACACTATTAGTAGTGTGAAGATATTGAGCCTTAACACGGATCGGTTCGCAAAGATATTTACTATAGTTAATAGGTAGTATATAGATCCGCGGTTCTCTGGTAAGACGTATTGCTTATATATTATAGCTATTATCACTATTTCAGGGGTATATATCTACTATCATAGAGTCCGGGCGGGTCTATGTTCTAAGTAACCTACTAACCCTACGGGGATATATTCTATACTATACCTATTTGGTTACCTTCTAGTTTTCTAAGTTAGCGGTAGGGGGGACTTAACCTACCTAAGCGACTCCTACTTTTATATATTGATAATACTAGCTCGCTGTAATCTACTAGTCACTGCGGAGGGTCTACTTCACGACCTATCTATTTAGATAGAATATTTTTTAAGGTTTTTAGAAGCCGACCTCTCTCTAGCTATTACGGAAACTAGTATAGCCGTGGATTTTATTTTACGTGGTGCGAGTTTACGCTTATAGATCGTACACCTACAAACCATCCTTCGATAGTCTTCTCTAGCCTTGGAAGAGGAAGAATAGCTATAGATATAAGGATTAGACTATACGTATCCTAAGAGATAGGTCCACGGTGTCTAGTCGATACCTTCTTTCCTTTATCACCTAGGGCGGTTAAGCGATTATAATACTTGTAGTGCTCTTTAATAGGGGCGAAAGCTTAGAAGGTTTGAGATTAAGTTTAGTGAGGGAATTGCACTTCTATTCGCCCCGGTCTTGCCTACTTTCCGCCGATTATCTCTTATCGAAGAAGCTAAAGCTATATAGCTTCTAAGAGCTACCTATACCAATATTATTATTGATATATAACGACTTCTATATTTTAAGTCTTAGTATTAGGTATTAGTAGTAACTTATATCCTTTATTATATCTTATAATTAACACAATTCTTTATCTAGGTTCCGTATCTAATACTACCGATTCCCTAGGATATAAGCTACCTAAACCGTTATAAATTTAAAAATCTCTGGCCTATATATATCAGGCCCTATTAGTGCGCTAGTATTACCTTACTAGACAAAGGAGCCTCTAGTAGGAACCTCTATCTCTATTCTGACCGATCCTTTCACAAAAAGGATTTCGTTCGGCTATAGCTTCCGCTTAACTAGTTAGTTTTCCTGTGTTTCTTCTTTTGTTAAATCTTGTGGGTATAGTATAAAAGTCACTCTAGCTTCGTCGATATTCGAAAGATCCCGAAAGATAGATACTATAGGACAAGATAGATACGTAAGCCTAGTGCCCTATAAGTGGTTCTCGGAGGAGATAACGATAATAGGGCCTTAATAATAGGGGAAGCGAACTTTGCCTATAGCCTCCTTGATTTTCCGAGTGAACTACTATTTGTTAGTCTTGGTTTAATATACTCTTTGGTAAACCTACTATATCACTTTCCTTAGTCCTACGCCGCAAAAACCGCGTATATATATCAGTATCTCCCCTACCATAGACTAAAGGGGCTTTTTCTATCTTTAGCCATAAGTGTAGAGACCACCGCACTTTGGAATTGATATCGGCTCTATTAGTGGAAGCTAAAAACACTATAAAGCCCGTGATCTCTATATCGAATAGCTTATTAAAACAAGGCGATCTATTCTACGCTATTGTTATATTTACGTTCCTATACTAGGCCTAAATAGTCTAGCTTAATAGAGAATAGCTAAATTGAAACTGGGAGGAAGAGGAATAGAAAGGCAAGATAGCGATATATAGACCTTTATATATTTATTGTATCTCTCGATATAAATCTAGTAGACACAAATATTAACCCTAAGGGTTGTCCGGAGACTTATCTTACGTCCTTACTAGTAATAGGCTATAATAAACAAAGAATATAGTCTTAGAGGCCCACCTCCTAATCCTCGAACTATAATAATTAGTATACTATTACCTTTAATTATATCTAATAAAATAGCTAGGTTATAGATAATATTATATAATATATAATTTCAATTCAATAAAATTAGGATTTTCCTATAGAATACCATAAGGGCTTTCCTCGCTCTAACGATCTCTTTGAAGTACCTATAGTCTAGCTAGTAAGCTTCTATCTTTCTACTATCGTTTAGTTCGACGTACAATTTTGTTATATCCGATAAACCTTCCGCGAATTAAACCTTTAGTACTTAAATTACCCTCCTTTTAACTAAGAATAAAGGTTTAAACTTTATAAGAGCATTATCTATATTACTAATATCGTCGAATTCTTTAAAGTCTAACCAGTATATTATTCTACGCCTATCTTCCTCTAGCTCGATACGTAACTTTGTATTATCTAGGTAGGGCTCCCGAAATTAGATTTCCTAGATTTCGATTACTTGTATATCTTCTATTTAGGCACTACCTAATATATCGTGTATAGCGATATCAGGCGATATAGCGATCCTCTCTGTATTTCCTAATCTAATATATCGCTTATTAACATTATAGTTAGTGACATACTAGTCGAGATATATACTAGGAATATTAGGCCTTACTTTTGGTAGGTCTTAGGTCTTTACCTTATAGTATAGATCCGGCGCTTTGTTTAGTCCACTCTGTGCCTTTTATAGTGGTTAGCTTTGAATAACTAAGGACTTATATTCTATACCTTCGGCCGACCTAGGTAAGTATAGAATAGACCTAAGAAACCTAAGGAGGGCCTAGGTTATAGGTAGTTTATATTCGGTCGAGAAAGAGAAAATACTTATTTTGATACCCTAAAGAATAATAGACCATAAGACCTATATATTATAATTCCTTCTTTTTAATACCGCGCTTACTAATCAAAGTTTAGGGGTATAGTATCCTATTGAAAGACCGAGATAAGTCTAGACCTTAGGGTCTAAGCGGGTCTGTATTCTGAGAAATCATACCTATAGGGGATATATTCTATCCTTTACCCCTTCGGTTACCTCCGAGGTTTCTAAGTTAGCGTATTATAGTAGGACTCTAACCAAAAATTGATCTCTATTATTTTCCTACTAGCTCGCTGTAATCTACTAGTCACTATAGAGGATCTACTTTACAACCTATCTATATATTTTTTAAGGTTTTTAGAAGCCGACCTCTCTCTAGGTATTGCGGAAACTAGCATAACTATAGTAGAGTTTATTTCGCGTGGTATAAGCTTACGCTTATAGATCCTATACCTAAATATACCACTATTTACTGTTAGGAGTAGGCTCCGGGACGCTATCCCTATATAGCAGTATATATATAATTAGCGAGCTATATTAGGTCAATAAATTTATTATTATAGATCCTATACCTGAAAAGTATTCTTTGGTGGTCTTCTCTAGCTTTAGAAGAGGAAGAATAGCTATGGATATAAGGATTAAACTATACTTATCGGTATTTTACTCTTTTCTTAGCTATTATAAAGTATATAAAAAGAATAAATTTATCTAGTCCGAAGGTTTTCGATTCCTATCGTAAGGTTTAACACTTCTACGGCTTGTGAGGCTAAGATCACCGAAGTCATACTAGGAGCCCGATATTAAATACTTATATCTGGCCATAGCGAAGGTCGACACTTATATATCTCATAGAGTTCGATTTTATAGCTATTACTAGCTTTTGTAATTTTAACTACTATATTATTATCTACGTAGGTTAGCTCTATTGATAGAGATATAAAAACGAAGACTTACCTATTTCCTGATTTGTATATTTTTTTTCGAGTTTTATGAGCGGTGTGATTATACTTAGTAGTTTTCTTATACCCTCCGAGGTTTTCGAGGATTTTTCCAAATTAACTAGGATCATAAGCTACGTAGGAAGAACAGAAAGAATAGATATGATTACCACTACTTTAGAGCTTAGTAGATATTAACTTTATTATAGAGGCTCTATACTTTTTTTATTTTGTGCGCTGGGTAATCTAAGTAGCCTTTTAGAAAAATAGCGGAGTTTATCGAGGCTAAGCTTTCTAAGTACTATTTGATAGTACTCTCTGAACTTATTAGTCGAGCTTATTGGTATATATTTAAATTCGGTATTTAAAGAGTTATTTATTATAAAGTGTTTATAAGATAAGAAGAAGAATACTTTAGGAAAGTATATAGCTTTATATTCTTTAGTGGGTAAGCCGCTATTAGATAAGGTTATTATAGGATGGGATAATCTACTAATTAGATTGCGGAGTATACTTAGGATAAGTATAGTAATAGGTCACTAGCTAAACCAACCGATATATAGGTAGGCCTTGATAGATTAAATATATCTTTAAACCTTAACTCCTAGGTCACGGAACACCTATTATATCTATACGTAGAAGTTTGTTGTTTTAGAAGGACTTTATACTAGCTTTAAGTGATCTTATCGACGTATTTCTATAGCGGGCGCGTGTCTACGTATCTATATATTTATCTATAGATAATAGTTTCACTTTAATCTTTATTAGGATTGCTCTATACACTTTAAATTAATAGTTTCGCGAACCTCGAATAATAAATACCTATATAAGGGTGCGTTAATTTCTTCGAGACTCAAACTATATTGACGAAGTAAGTTAGTATAAATCTAAACTCTAGTTGTAGAGAAATGAGAAAGAGGAGTGTGTAGAATAGAAGGATAAATAGATAATAGTACGATAGTCAAGTATTTAAAGAAAACGGATTGTCCTTTAGTCCGGATATTGGGCCTAGGATAGATATAATACTAATCGAACCTTAATCAAGCTTGAATTCTTAAGATTACTTTGGCGGTAGAGGCGGGATGCCCGGCTTCTTGACACCTATTGTATTGTATACGCCACGTCTATAAAGCTTAGCTTAGCTTGTGCTTAGTGATAGCATAGGATCTACCTACCTAGCAATGGTTTCTTTGGGGTATATTATCTATATTATAGCTTAATATTAAATAGATAGTGTAGGGTGATAAGATATAAGTATTTAAATCTCTCTATATACGAAGATATTTCTGTAAAAGCCTTCCCGATTTGCCTGAAATAATTTTTAGAATAAATGCTAGCGTGTGGTATATAATCTATATTTATAAATTGAATTCTAAAAAGTGGGTCTTATAATCTATCTAAGCTTCGGAGGATAATATAAGTCCCGAATGCCGATAATATATAGTTCTTTTTAAAGCCGACTAGCTACTTTGGGCAAAGTCTCGCTAGAATAAAACTACTATAATATTCCTAGCGTAGGATTCGAAAAACTTAAGTGGCGCTTTTGAACACTACCCCTTTCCACAATCTCGACACTCCCTTCTTCTTTTAGTGGTGCTTTAGGTTTAAGGAGAAGGATACTTAGGTAGCTTTACTATCTAAGTAACTACTACCACGAGGTTTATAGAGAGCTTATATATCGATACTACCTATCTAGTCAATAAATTATTATTTAAATTCACACTATTAATTTCCTTCTAGCTTCACTATACTTATTAATAGAAGCGAGAAAAGAGCCTAGCTTCACTACTTAAGGCTTAGCTATATAACACTTACCTAAGCGGATAGTACCTCAAAATCTAATTACTTTTTTAGTAGCACTTCTCCTATTGTACAGAGATAACTTATCGCTATATAGAAATAGTAGAGCCCTTTCTATATAGTTATATCTATAAGTATAGGTGTATTGAAAGTATATAATACTTCACTATAATCTAGATCGGCCTCTGTCTTTACGCCTTAGACTTATAGTGTTATATACCTTAATTATAATAGCCTATATAACTATATATTGATTATTTTTAATAGAGGCTCGGATTATCTATAGTTTAGTACAGATCTTAACGCATAGCTTGTGGGCTCTTATACCAAACTAATTATAGAGAGATAAAAGGTAGAAGTGCTTAATTGGTAAAAAGGATAAAAACGATTTAGAGATAAGTATCGCTATATATTGCAACAAGCTATATAAGATAAGTTCACTTTCGAGTTACTAACTGTCTGGCCCTTTTAATCAATTGTCTAGATCGTCTTAGTTTAAGGGGGACGCTATTAGTATCTAAAGGTCTACATTTACTATAAGAGCTAGAAGTTAGTATACTCGTAATACGTTTTGTGGTGCTATATGGTATTTTCTGCGCCTAAAATTGATCCGTTATCGAGAAGTTATCCGGCGTACCGGAAATAGGTTGGTTAGTGTCTTTGTATTTATTTCGATCTACTTATAGTAAAGTTTAACGAAAAGTATCTTAGGAGCTAAGGGCTATAATATACCTACTTAGCTAGTCTGACCATAGAGAGTAATAGGGTGATCTGTCACCTTAGTCGCTCTATCATTGACTGCCTTATTATCTAGGCGAAGACAATCCTACTTAACGATTCGAGGCTCTTCTAGATACTTATAGGCTAGCTACCTAGTAGGGGATAGAATAGATATAGAGTTAATACCACTACACTTATCTACTAGGGCTAGAAAGCTTTTATAGATCAATATCTCCTAGTATTCTAATATAGTTATAACTTTAGTGTCGGTAATAGAACAAAGCTACTCGGCGTTATTATAGCCCTAATCCTCGTTAGTATAAATTATAATAGGATTAGAGGCCGAGCCTAAAGGAGTAGGATTATCTCTAATTACTATAGGATTAGCCTTAGTGCCTAGCTCGGAAGAATCGATAAGTTTGTATATAGGATAGTCTAAATACTTATCGGGGATTAAAACTTCGTAACGCTAAGTTAGCAAAATCTATAATACTTCTAGAATATCCCTTACTAAAGGCCTTGTATATATTCTTTATAAAAGAGCTTATATTGACTTAGGTGGGAAGTGGAGGCGGAAACAAATACTTAATGATTGATATAGGGTAAGACTAAGGGCTATAATTATTGGAGAAATAGTGTGCGAGGAATATAGCTTTATACCTCTTATCTGGCCGATTACGCCTTGTTTAACCTTTAGGTGAAGCGGGCACCCTTGTCTAGGTCTTAACTTCAGACAGTAAGACCTAGCAAGATCGCTTCTAGACAAGGCCTATCTACCAATTGTCTCTATATCTAATATATATTGTTTAGGAATACTGTATATTAGAGTTATCGTCTAAAGGTAAATCATATAACTGGCTAGTATTACTGTAGACCTTCTTTCGCCGATCGCTGCCTCGGCTAATCCTAGTATAGTCTATATCTTCCGGAACAGAGGATTAAACATGCCTTAAGACTATTGATTATTACTACGTTATTATCCTAACTTAGGTCTCTATCATAAATACCAACTTTTGGAGGAATATATCGTAATGAAAATAGATATAGAAGCTCGGGGTTATAAAGTCTAAATTATCTTACCATAGTCATATTGTACTATATATCTTATATTCTATATCTAGGTACTCGATTGTATAGTATTCTACCTCACACTAGCCGTTAGGCTTAAGGAACCCACAAAATAGCTATAGCTGGTGCCTATATAAGGAAAATCGAAACCTTCCGGGCTTATTTATAATAGGATATTATAGATCCCTCACCCTTAATAGTAGTGGAAGATTAGATAGATAAATAATAGGTTTTATAAAAGTATATTACAATATATACAATAGCGATATATATTATAATTATATCTAGGGGGTAGTCGCTGAGACTGCTAGGTAGAGAAAGGGTTGGCACTAAATATAGATCCCTAATTAAGTGTAAAAGATTACCATATAATCTTGGAATAAACGAACTACGTAACCTAGTGACTATATATATTTTAATAACTATCTAGCTAGCTACTATAACTAAAATAGTCTTATCGGGGAATTAGTGGCGATAGTTATATAAAAGATCGGGAGACCCTTCCTAATCTAGAGGAGCTTCCTCGCGAAGTCGGTGACATTAGGCGCGATCCTTCACGGTATATCTAGTAAAGCTTGACAAAGCGGGCGACTAATTCCTTAGAAACCCTAGAAGTATAATTAGTAATCATAAAGTAAATATATTATACTTACTATATCTTGGATTTACCCACTATAAATAGACCTTCCGGACTTAAGTGAATAACTTATCTTGGCCACCATACTTATATTTCTGATAAGTGTCAGTGAGGATTTTGAACAATTTCTGTCGAATCGTAACCGGCTTTCTATTAAAACAAATAACTCTATTAGTATTAATTAATCTTACCTATTCAAAGGAGTAAGACTATATCCGGTCCTATAGTTTCGAGCTTAAATATATTTTTTGCCCAAAACCTGATTTTCTTTAGCGATTCGCGTAAAAGCTTATACTAAGAGACCTATACCGAAACTTAGCTAACTCCTCTGTTGTCTCTTTAGGGCTATTTAATATAGATTTAATATCCTGGGCTCTCTTAGTATAGATCAAAATTTTATCTCGTTTTTGACTAGATCGTTCTTCGATATAGCTAAAATAATAAGATATTAGTAATAAGTCTAGTAGGGTTTATTATATATCACTCACTTCTGTACTAGTTAATCAACGTCCTTTATATCAGGGGAGCCGCGAAGTATAGGTACTATTTCCTCTAATAATAATATAGCCTTGTTAAGAGTCTCCTAGCTTTTAATCGCTGTTTTACCTAGTGGGTCGAGGGGTAGATCCCTTAGCCTATAAAGGAATTATGGCTAGGCAATTATCTATGGCGAAAGATATAGCCTAGAATCATTAAGCGAATATTTCGACGTATACTACAACCCTTGTGATTGACTTAACTATATAGTAGATAGCTGCTTAAAAGAAGACCTATATATATTAAAGGAATAATATTGTCTATATATACTAATATAATAACCCTCTTACTCAAATTTATGACTCTCTGGCTAACCGTACAAGTTAGATATTGCTATATAGTCGGGACTCCTATCGATAAATATTGTGCTTAATACCCTATATCTATTGAGCTTAGCTTATCTTGGTTAGAAACCTCCAAAAAAAAACAAGATAAGATATATAAGACCTATAGAGTTTTAGATATATTCCCTACGCTTAGAGATTTTAGGTAAGATGATCTTTCTATATAAGTATATCAATAAATATCACAATAAGGCGTGCGGATTTGTATACCTAAGCGTTATAGAGCCATAGGCGATAGTAGAATACACACAGAGTAAGTATAAACTAACTAAAAAGAAAGGACGCACTAGCTAGTTATATAGATCCTATATCAAAGAGAAATTCGATTAATATCTTTCATAGTTAGGATTTATAGGAAATTGACTCTTTAATATATCTTCTATAATATAATATATAAACTAAAGTCTTTCTAGTTAAGTCTCTAGCTATATACTTTTCTTAATATCCAAATTGCTCATAAGATAACGTTAAAGGTCCTCCCTATTATTCTAATAAAGTATACAGTTAACTAACATATATATCTCGCTAGGGGGCAATATATCTATTATCAAAAGACTATATAGCATAACCATACCTTCTAACCCTATATTAGTAACACTTAACCCTATAAGACCTTTAATAAATTTTGGAGGTATATATCCTATACTCTTTAATAGAATATTAGACAGTAGACAAGTAGTGATAGGTCTATTATATATATATAGCGCTATAGAGACAATATAAGTAGTAATATCGCTATATTTAATCAAGAACTAAGGGTTTCTTATTCCACTATCTAAATATTTAGTTTATTGAATTTATATTAAGCTAGAAACGATATATAGAATTGGCTTATAAGATATAATAATTTTTCAGCGATAGGTTCCATGATAAGGTATTATCTATGCGACTTTAGGAAAAAGAAATATATATAGGCAATTAGTTTCGGTGACTATATACTTTATAGATTTCTAGGGTTCCTTCCTATTAATAAGAATAAGATTTCTGTAAAGGCGAAACACTAAAGTATTTCTGTGTACTAACTCTAGCTAAATATATAATATATTCATAAGTTATCTATTAATAGCTGCTATAGTTTAATCAATTTTCTACCTCGCTAAGCACTCCCTTAAGGTAAGCTCTATAAAGCGATTAATATAGATTGCTTTATATACGATTAATGAGACGATAGTAGCCGTTGTCTTCGATTAGAATAAAAGAATCGTAGTAGGCTCTTATATTAAGCACCCTTGATAGGACCTGATATTTCGTTTTAAGGCGATCACGAATTCGTCGTCTAGTTAGACACTTAAGAGTGAGCTTCGATAATATATCTATTATTGTTTTATAGGTCAGAATAGGTATAGGATTCTCTATAGGGTATTTCAATATATATTTATAGATAATCTATTAGTTTTCCACAATTATATCGCTTATTCTATTATAGGCTAAATAATATTAGTATATAGAAATTCAACAGCTATACTTTATTATATACTATACCTTTATATAGCAATTAGCGAGGAAACGAGCTTATATTAAAAGTATTCGACTCTAAAACCATAGGGCGAAGGGTTTATATCTTTTATAATCCTTTGATAGAATAAGCGCTCTTAGAGGAATTAGTAAATAGGCAATTAGAGATAGTGTAAGGTTAGAATTATCTTAAATCGGTAGATCTATTTAGTTAATCTCTAAATTATATGAAGTAGGACTCTATCTAGTGGGCCGGTGCGTTTCGCTAAGCTAAGCCCTACGTAACTTCGGCCACGATATACGTGAGGTTACGTGTAGACTTAGTGGGGCTGTCCTCTGATTGAGTTATATAGAGATATAGTCTTACCTTTCGGGTAGGCCTATAGATCACGACCCCTCTACTTGTCTACCTAACTCTTATAAAATATAAATATCAACCCTAGTCGGCTAGACAGGGCCACCTTTTCCGAAATGCGACTTAAACTAATCCCTGAAAGTTCGAAGAAAATTATCGATGTTATAAGGGCACTTATCGCGAAAGATAAGATAGACCACTTGAAGGAGGATATAAGAGGATAGCTATATAGTGGTAAGAGCTTCACCGAATTAGTAGTCTTATTACGGAAAGAGATAAGGGAGGAACTTTAATATCAAGATATCAACGTGAGAATATTAATTTTGTTGTTAAATAAAGAGTCGCTAATCGGTTACCTTATAGGTGATCTTCTACACTATACAATATTTCTTTAAAGGGGCGAATATAACCCCTTCCGATCTAACTAAACGACTATTAGTTATCCTAATTAGCGGAACTTCCACCCTTTTGCCTAGCGGCTAGCTACCAATTAATACTTATTACTATATCGATAACACACTAACACTTTCTGGTGAAGATATTAATATTATTTTTGTTGTATATAAAGTGAACAATTAGTATGCTATATAGTGAGAAATAGAAATAAAAGGCATAGATTAATATTTATATATTAAGAAATAGGTTAAGGTAAAGATATATGCCTCAATAACAAACAGATTATTGTATTATCTCTTTACAGAGTCGCGTAGCTTCCGCTTTCTTGCCCAGTATGGCCATACTCGGTCTGTATGGTATCTTTGAAATAGATATATAGGTTTTCGGAATTTTTGAGAATCTCTTCTGTGTCTATATGAAAGTTTGGATCTTAGAGAATATCCTAATCCTAAAGAGGGTCGAAATCCTAGAAAATATTATAATCTTATAAGGGGTCAAAATCTTGAAATAAAGAGTAATTACACAGTAGATTTTAAAAGTTAGAAGACAAGATATAATTGATTAGTTCGGTGGTAGGATAGTTAGATAAACCTAACTCGGCGTGGATCGGTGTTGTTAAGGTATCGTTAAAACCTAGTTCGGTATTGGTACTTACTACTATAGTGTTAGTGAGGTTAATCCTAGCTGTATCCCTCGATAAAGGAGGTAACAACACTCGCTTAGATAGCGGTTATTCGTTTACTATTTATATATAAGCTTAAACAACTTCATAATAGTCGGCACATTCGCCTCACTATTGCGATTAGTTTATAGGAACTTTTCTCTACTCGATTCTATCCCTAAAACTGGACTCTAGAAGATCACTTAAAATAATATTAATATAGGCCAGAAGAAGTTGTTATACGACGTCGACTTATAATTATAATTACTTTGTAGTTTATTGAACTAAGGGCTTAGATCTCGTATAATATCGATTAGATATATCTTCTAACTTAGAAGCTTGATAATTTCGTTGTCTAAACCAAGTTTTTGCGCGAAGCCTTGTATTTTATCGAAGCGAAATCTCCGAAACTGATCAATCTAGAGGCTAATAATAGCGGAAATTGTAGTGGGTATATTTGGTAGATTCTCTTCGCCGTGGTAGTGGGTGGTAATAATTTTCTTAAAGACTATATACTTAAGACTAGCTACTAAGGATCTTATATAAAGTTCTCTAGTGGCTACGGAATCCTTAGTGGCTACAAGATCCTTAGTCGCTACGAGATCCTTAGTGCTAATATTGAAGATATTAGCGCGAGAAGATTTAGAAGGCTCTGAAGTAATAGTCTCTTAGTAAAGCGCGTCGAGTTTTGTTAGAGAGACACTATTATCCTATTACTGTTTTGTGAACTCTAGAGCTATCGACCTAAGTGTAAGAACCCTCTAGAGCTTAGCCCTAGATCTAAGTGCCTTATCTCCTTCGATACGCCTTATATACTCTAATCGAGGGTCCTTATCAGAGTTTCGCTTACGTGATAGTAGGTCACTCTCTTAAACAAGACCCTAAATCTGTGGTACTAATTTTTTGACGCCCTTTAGTAGTGGAGTGATATAATCTAGGCGAGTAGGAACTTCTTCCTTAGACGTGGCACTAGACAATTCTATTACTAGTATAGACTAGGCACCCTAGGAAGGTACTTCTAGGCCACAAACGTAAGGTGTTTGTGGAGATAATAGATCGGTCTTATCACCAAGTGTCGTAGATCTAGTAGATTGTAAAAATCGGGGTGAATATAGAGGAGATAGTACGCTCTAGTTTTCCTCGGGAAATAAGTGATAATCTTTAAACCTAGTCGCCTAAAAACGTTGTGGAGAGATTGGACCTAACTCGACGGCTTACCCCTAACGTATTGTCCGCTTTGTATATTAGGATCTCCTAGGTAAATATAGAGGAGATAGTACACTTCCTAGGTCTTTAGGAGTTGTTCGGAAACTAGAGCTTAGATTATAAAGATAATCGCTGATTCTTCTGAAAGTTAGAATAGTCTGTTCTATATATAACTAAAGACTAGTATTAGATATATTGCGAATTATCTCTAGGGCTACTAGTAGATCTATTATAACGAAAATATAGAAATATATAGTAAAGAGTAACGGTTTAGTCTAGAGTTAGGCTTACTCTTAAGTTTTTGCTAGAAGCCTAGACCCATAGTCGATATTACGAATTATGGGTAAGGCTTAGCCCACAATCGAGTTTCCCACTTTTAGACCTACACTTTAGTGTTTAATAACTAAGTATAGGTCCGTTATAGAATAATTAGCTAGCCTATATCTACCACATACTCGCGACACGCGATAGATAAGTAGCTAAAGAATAAAATATCGGTACAAGAGACACCACAACTATTTTTACTATAGCCCCTAATAAATCTTAACCTAATAAACTCCTAGATAGTGGGATAAATCCGAGACCCTATAGCCTATATCACAAAGTTTGTGAAAGACTATATGATAGAACTCCTAAACCCCTTAAGTTTAATATATCTAGTATACTAACCTAAGAAGGTAGTAAATTTTGATTCGAGATTAATTAATAATAGTTTCTATATTTCCTTGCGGGGTCTAAGTGTCTTTAGTATAATAGATAGTATAAGGCGCTAAGTGATTAGATATTAGTTTTAGAACTAATATTACTTTGTGTATAGCTTCCGACTAAACAGCTAATTAGTCGGTGTCTTTTAATTCTAAGCTTCATAAAGTATAAATTAATATAGAGTTAGCCTTACTCTATTTTTCGCGATAAGCCTAGAACTATACTCAATATTACGGCCTACAACTAAGGCTTAAACCTATTCGACGTGGTATACTTCTTATAGCCCCTAACCTAGCTTTTTACAAAATCTAGCATGATATTTTAAATTTAGATAGATAAGAAAGACTATATTCGCTAAATTATTAGTGCCCCGATCAATATAGTAAGAAATAGCCGGCTAAACCCTATAAGCGAGTCTAATCGCAAGCGCTTCTATAATTTCACGTTTGGTTGTTGGTTATAAATTAGAGGTATTCCCTTTCGTTTACAACAATTAATTTCACTATATTATAAGAAGTTTTCTATTAGATTGTTAGTATCTCTCGATTTATTGCTAGACATTTACTAACTTTAAAAATAGTTAACAGTATATATAGTATTTAGGTTACAATAACTATCTTCGCTTACGGACATAGAGAAACGAGAAAAGAACCATATCCCTATCCTAAGAATCACGCGGAGCTATAGCCTAAGGTGTAAATAGGTAGCTCTTATAACCGTCGAGATAAATATCCTAGCTACCGAGGAGCTTCTAATAGACACTAGGTGTATAGCGGTAAGTATCTACACACTTAGGCTATAAGCTTCGTTATTGACTTAAATATTCTTCGAGAAACCACTCTAGTGAAAGTTTCTCTTTTAACCAGTATTTAGGTTCTATTTTCGATATTATACTAATAATATTAGTCGCTAACTCGTCGAGATTGTACTATTGCACCGTAGACCCCTAGGCCTCTTTGTCAATAAGTTATTTAGGGTAGGAGACTTATCTAGCTCTATATATAATATAGTCTTTGTACTTCCCTCCTATCTATAATTTCCTAGTAACCTTAAGAGGCAGAATATAGGTTATTCCTATGTTAAATATCTTGGATCTATTTAGTTTTATAAATATAGAAGAAAACGAACACAAATAGAAGGAAGGATATAATAGAGGCTTAAGTATATAAAACCTTTTAATTAACTAGTTATCCTAAGTCTAAAAGATTATATATAGTATTAATTACTTAGCTATAAAAGTACTTTAAGAATTCACGCTAAATATCATTCTCTATATAGAGAGTAAGCCTACAATTATTTTCTATATATAGGTATATTATAGCTAGTAAAACGTAATTCGGTATCTCTATCTAAACTATAGCAATCTACTAATACTTATAACTGATCTCCTAAAAGTATACTATCAAGTATATAGCCTAAAGATCGTATTAGTTATTAAAAGAGATATATATTATATAATTGTTGATTCTTACCAATATTATTCTCTTATCTTTTTCTCTATACTCTAATTCGCTCTCTTAGTAAAGCAATAGGCTCTAGGTGTATTGAGGTATTATAAACCGCTTAGTCGATATAAGCGTTAAGTGTATAAAGGTTCTCTAGTATCTCTAAGGTACTACTATATTGTCTAAGCTAAATATTTCGAATAATCGTATTAATACCTAGATGATTGGTATATATACTAGGCAAAATCAGTATACCGTCCCTATTAATAGAAAGCTTAGGTTTGATTCTATACTTAAATTAATAAATAAGCGAGCCTATTGTAAATATATTAGTTACCTCCGATAGAATTAGTAAAGGGCTATTAACTAGAAGCGGGAGATCCTAGATGACTAGGTTTGATTGGCTAAAGGGGCTAGCGGCACTAAAATCACAAAGAATAGCAGAGCCTCGATTATCGAAGAGTATATTATTAATTCGTATATCTCTATAGGCTATTCTAAGCTTATAAAGGTAGCAAAGAGTATTAGTGATATTGTAATACCATCGAATTCGAGTAGACTATAAGGATATTTTACCTACCGGTAGCGGCTAATATCTACGGAGATATATCCCCTCGGCTTAATCGGTATCGATAGGTTTAATAATATAAGGATATAGCCACTATTAAAGTAATCGTAAAACAAACTATTTATCTTACAACAAACTAGAGTGAAAAATAGTATCTAAGGTATAGTGGTACCGGTCGCTACCAGAAGCGTTACGCCTAGGTTCTTCGAAAATACAATAATTCTTAAGGACTATCTCCTTGTTAATTTTGTAGACTTAACCAGTAGCTCCTATACCCAATATTTTCAAATTAGACTAAAACAGTGGCCGTATAGTATAGGTGATATAGTCCGATAAGGCAACACCGACCGTATCAATAGACTCGGGATCACTCGATCTTTAAGAGTTAGATAGATAAGTTTTAATAAATAACGGAATTATACTAGATAAGAATCCGAACGTACCTTTAATAAAGGATAGCTAGACCTCCCGCACAGCGGAGAAATAGTTCTAGAGATAGAATAGTATTTTAACGGCACCATGAAATCAGGAGAGTTTAGGAATCCACTAGGAAAGTAGTAAATATAGAGCTATATCATATAACCAATCTCTATATTAGCTACAAAGAAACGAACTTAGCCAAATTTGCTGCCTAATAGAAAAGGCGACGATATTCTATCGGAGTATATAGACCGGTATACTAGGGATAGGTTATATAGTAATTTTGAATTAGTAATCCGCTATCTATATAAATTACTAGGAAAACGGATACTATAATACAGAGATTTTAACACCATTAATTGGACTTATATATTTTAGGATACTATTGTATTTAATATGTTCGAAGAACCTATAGGTGTCGATCACATGACTTTTAACCTAATTTGAATCACCGACTTAACAATACCCTCCTATTTAGCTCTTTGATTGGTGTACAAAATATTGTCAATTTTTGTTTAAAGACAAAGTAAATTAAAAAATTAAAAAATAAATTCAAGTAGCGAGCTATAAAATCAATTTGGATAAGTTAAGGTAGACTAAGGCTACTTATATTAATCTATAATCTTTAAGTAAACCTATAGGCATTATAAAGGACGTTCAATCTCCAACCTATTTATGATTAGGGAATAAGACCCCGCATATTTATCATTAGGAGGAATTCCAGATATATAATATAATTAGCGGGGCATTGAGAAGGAAGTGGCGATATACAGATACCAAGACACCTAGAGTTTCAAGAGGAACTAGATAGTCTAATGATCTACATTATAGCTTAGCCAAGAAGAGGGTTAGTACGGCAGTCGCGCGACGCGGATGATTCTCACCCCGATTCTCACCCTGTCTATAGTGCACTCACCCTTGTCACCCCCGGTCGCGCGACCGTAAAGCGGCGCTCACCCATTTCTCACCCGGGCGACACCTACCGAACTACTGACCGCACATAAGCCACACGCCGGTGAGTTAGTAGTTGGGTGGGTGACCACCAGCGAATCCTCACTGTTGTATGTTTTATTTTTTTGGACCTATCTCTGATCAACTATGTAGGTAGGTATCATCCTTCAAATGCGACAAATAATAATGGACGCATAGAATTGGCAGACCGTCACTGCTAACGTTCAAATCATTGTGTCTTGTTTGCCTTCACCTTTTTCCCTCTTCGGCGCTTCAGGGCATCCGGGGTGTATTCAGTGTCAAGGAGGTAGTCCCACCAGCGGAAGCTGCTTGAGTAGTTCCCAATGAATTTCTCATGGTGGAGGTCGTGATGATCAGCACCAGCCCAGAAAGGTAAGAAATGGTGAAGACTCCAAGGAAATTCGTAGCCACTGTGGGCATCGATAGCCTGGAACAAGCGCAACACAATCCAGATATACATAGTGAGAATATGTAGATTACCGGTGAAAGCACACCAGAGGATCGGGGAACTGACTGTCCCGAAGCCGAGAATCATCACTTCAATAGGGGAAGCATATTCGGCGGCCAAACCAAATGGTGCGGAATACTGATGGTGAACTTTATGAATAGCCCTGTAGAGTGGACCCCAATGAAGAGCTCGGTGGAAAAAATAGTGCCAAGTGTCCTCCATCACGAAAAATATTGCAATCTGATATGTCATAGTCCAGGGAGATGGAAAAGGAATCGAAGTTGATAGACCGCAGAACTGGGCCATTGGGTGGAAAAACCTAGAAGAGCCGTTAACTACTAAATCAGGCCCGAGAGACAAACGTCCGATAGAATACCACTCCGTCGAGGGTAGGAACATACCAGATTTGAGGAAGTTCAACGGTGAAGTGGCTCAGAAGCACAAACTTAGCGCAGTTCCATTGCTCGCGTAATGAAGGGACTTTGCTCTAGAGCAGAATATTAGTTTCGATGGCGCCTGGAATTGGGTTGATTTCGGCTAGTGCCAGGTGTTAGGCTTGCGACTTGCACTTTGAATCTTATATCTGTTGAAGAAACCTAAGCTATCGATGAAGATCCACGGAAGACAGCGGCCGAAGTAGAATAGCTCGTGGATAACGAAGGACATAATGCCGGTAGCTAGGACATCATTCTGCATCCACGTATACCATGCGACCCACAATCTCTCCACTACACTCAGGTGGGTATTGGATTGAGTGATATCCTGATATTGGCTCCAATAGGTACCTGGGGGGAGTATGGTAGAATTCCTAGGACCAAAAGGGTTAATATATAACAAATTCCACAAAAAGCGGAGGAGAGATAGACATTGTGGTCCCTAGTAGATCTTAAATAAGAGAGAAGAAGCAGAGGCTAAGTAAGAGAAGGAGAAGACTATTTTGTGAAGGGGTAAGAAGAGAAAGGATCTAGGGCAGAGTACTATATAGGGCTCGGCTGGCTATCGGCCTGTCTGTGGCCTGACCTTTGCGGCGCTGATGACTGGTGTGTTCCGGCTCCCGGTCTTACCACTTCGGGAATGGCCTGCTCCGAGTTATCGAAAGCAGTACTGGTTCTTACAGTATTTGCAAAATCTGGTAGGGCCACGAAAAATTTCCGCAGTCGTTCACCCGGTGCCGCAACCTGTAATTACGGTAATCTCCTCGATTGTATACACGGGCCCTTAAGTTATTAGTAGGTGACTTACAGTGGGTCCGTGTCCCATCCTTATAGAAATGACTGCTATAGCTTCGTGATTCGACTCTCCGCTATAGAGAGACTGTCCTGTATGTGGATCGCAAAGGTGAGATAGATTTGAATGCAGTTTCCGGTCGAAATTCGCGTTTCGCCCCAAGCGTAGCCCTGACCTATCAGGGTGTCTTGCATCCTCGCTCGCTCAATCATCCAATCCTATTCATGGCGAAGCATCGTGTGTCAAAAAAAAATCATCACAGCTTCGCAAAAGGGCACTCGACCCTTCTTTCCGCGATCAACTTCGCCATTGACACTTCAAACTCCACCTCGCCCTTGCCCACCCATCGCTCAGGTCCCACATCCCTCGCCACATACCCCTCGGGTTGGAACCCCTTCCCAGGCCGCTGGACCCCAGCGAAGCAGAAATGTGGGCTCGACATACCAGGGTTCAGCATCAAAGCGCGTGAAATTGATCCGACCGGTTTTGGTATTTGTCTTCTTGAAGGTGTAGCGAAGAAAGGCCGGGCGCGGGGGCATGCAGTGTTTGATAATGTTTTTGCGGATGGTGAAGATGGTGAAGATGGCTCTTCAGCAGGGAGCGAGGACGCGGGGATACATCATCGCTTTCCGGAGCCGTTTGTCCAGGAGGGCGGTGACAAATTTCTTGCCCGCGTTATGCAAGAGCTTCGGCAGGGTATAGTTGAGCAGATCCGTAGTGTGGTCGGCGACTAGGTTACAATTGGTATTCGGAACCATGTGCTGCGACTCGAACTCTTCGACCCAGGTTGCGAGTTCGTTGAGCTAATGCAATCCCTCCCTGGATCCGGGTTTGTACGACGGAAGGCATTCGTACGAAATGCCCGACTATGAGACCAAACAGCCTCATTGACGACCACTCGCAAGACCCGGGAAGTGCGCAGTAATCGTTGCAGTTGGACCAACTTACAAGCACAAAGCCCCATCTCGTTTAGCTTCCTCCATTCGTACTGCTCAATCTAGCGCTTCGGCTCCAAGGCCAAGACATTGAGGGTATACATCATGTCGTCGTTGCTGATCTTGCCGACTTTCTGGTAATGGCTGTGAAGGAATTGATTACACTTTTCTTTTATTTTATAAGTACTTGATATAGTATTTAGCTAGCTCTCCTCCTTTAGCCACTCTTTTATATCTCTTATCGAGACCTTTCTCGATATTTTCGTTAGAGCTATAGGTCCGTAGATTAACTACTATGGTAGAGAGCAGTCATGTGTGGGCCTGTATAGCTGCCTATAGTCCCTAGAGATACAATTCTTATGTTTGAAATAAGCTTTTAGGATCTCAAAAGCTTTATTTTTAATATAGAGAAACTGGCTAAAAATATAGAGATACGTCCACTTGTATGACGATGAAAAGCCTTGTTTTTGATATGTAGAAACCGACCAAAAAAATGGAGATACCCCTCTTTGTATGGCGATGAAAAGCCTCATTTTTGACACTTCTCAACTGGCGACACCAGCGGCACCTGGGTATCTTGATTATCAAGGCATATGTAATAGTAATTCAAGTATTTCATATCCCTGCCGTTTTTAAATAAGGCATTCAGGCATTCAATCCCCCCCAAAACGGGGTTTGAACCCTGATAGCTATACCGCTTCATAAGTAGGTAGCTATACGTAAAATATTTCCTCTGCCGGGTGGGGCTTTCCTATCTCAGCTGCCGCCGCTTTCACGAGGGCGCTCAGAGTCAGGCTCACTGAGTAAATTTCAGTCCGGGGGACGATCTCACATTTCTTGTTTATTGGTATATTTTGCGATACGGCATATTGGATCTATATTATATGGGCAGAAGTTGTTGCAGAGTCGGGATTATCTTCATTCTTCGATTGGACGTGAGCTGGAGGCTTTTCATGCACGGTAGATTGTCACTAGCGCTCCAAAGCCCACACAAATGAGCCTGGGTCGAAGGCGCAAAATACAGCCCATATCCCATTCGTGGGGGCCGATAAGCCCCCCATTTTAGCGAATCTAGGGGGTTCAACTAACATCTTATAATCGCTATGTTCTAGTCTTTCACTTGTTGTATATAAATACTACTAAAAAGTCCTGTAAGAAAGGCACCATAAGGCCATAAGCGGCCGTCTACTCTTGTATATGGCAATGAAGTGAATCACGTGTCTCGAAATATTTGTATTTTTTGGTGCTTTTTGGATCCCAATATGCCTCTATTCAACGCCCAGTGGGCCCGAATATAGGGCCCAGAATCCAACCCCTCAGTGGGCTGAGTCGGATTGAGCTTTGAGCTTTGTGGGCTTTGCGGAGCTCTAATTGTCACGTATTCACTCACCTCAAGCTCTTAACAATATGCATGGACAACATCACCCATGCCCTTCACAAATATTCGTGGACTGACGAGTAGCTGAGTATATGATATCATCAACTCTTGCTCACAGTATCACCGTCTGAAACCGGAAATTCTTCGACTATCATTCTTCCTATAAGCTTGGCTACTGGGCTAAAACAATGTAATTATTCGGTCTTTTCTTTACTATGTCCTGCACCAATGTAGTTTAGCTAGCCAAGTGATCCTTTGTTGACAATGGTCAGTTTCACAAGTGTGTATGCGAAAAGTAATGGTCTACCTGCGCTAGCCGATTGTGTGGAGCTGATTGGGATTTGTTGAAGATCTTGTGTATTTGGAGTGTTGAAGCGGCGATGTCCAGCCGATGCAATCAAACATCACACTTTAACTCATGCAGCTCTATTCGTCTTTCCAGAGGCTAGCGTATTCCCCAAGACCATGGCATGAATGCGGACAATTGCACTATCTAAATCCCCCCAGACAATTACTAGATCAATGATGATACAGGATTGAGGGTATATTTGTGCATTTATGGTGTTTATCAATCGCTATCCAAAAAATATTGGGATCGGCACTCTTTCAATTTACCAACAGCTGGATCTAGGATGCGGGAAGGTAATCATGACCCCCATTTCGCACAGCATTAACTCGTTGCGGGTGCATATCTTGGCTCAAGGTAGTAAGTACATACTATTCTTTGCCCCGAAACGCATTAGTCTGACCACACGGTCTCGGTGGAGTTCTCCGTAAATGCAGGATTCAAATACATTAGCGTGCTGTTTGTCACTCTTCCTGGCCGGCGCAACGGAACGGTAATGGAATTTTTGTATATGGATGGCGGGACCTGGGCATAAGAGAGCGATTTTGCGGGACTGAGCTCGTTGGCAAAGTAATCTGCTCGGAAAATAACACTCAAGCTTGTGTCTACGTTGGGAGAGCTTATGTACAATAGAGATCAAGCGCCCCTGTCCGTAAAGCTACTAGTTCAAGAGCACGACAATGGAGATGTCGCTTTGGTAATTATCATTGAGCACACAAGAGCACGCGATCCGTTGCCATGTTCCCCGTCGACAACGGCGTAGTAATCTGACGTGTTGGGTCTACGTAGTCAGTGATTGATGTCGTCATAACTGACAACAAAGAGCGTATATCGGGCTGGCATAGGAATGACTTCAGGTACCCCACAGAGCACTTCGCAGATTTCTTTATATGCCTCCCAAAGTGGTATCGGGACAACATGCTATGACTACCTTCTTCTCAGGGTGCATCGTTTCTAGGCCATGGAATCTGCGAGCACTCCTTTGAGACTGTGTAATCTGTTGCTGGCTGTTGCTGTGGCGGCGGTTGATCTTGCGTCACCTTCAAAGGATGATCTCGCCACTGGACACGTTAAATACCGCGGAGGGGTATATTAAAGTTTTCCACTGGAGGTGTTCTACTCCGTAGTTGAACCTCGTAATATCCGCCTAGACCCTGGAGTGATATAGGAGGCTTGCATCCTTGTAAGAATTCAGCCTCGATTTGGATTGGTGCGCAGCATGTTCTGACAAAATGGCTGAAAATAATTTTTGGCCATGCACGTCAGCACGACAGCCTTGGCAATTGTGCACATAAATTGGGCACAACGGGCATCGCGCTTTGGAACTTGTATAAGCGGGCGTCGTCGTAAGTGAGATGAGCGAATTCAAAGACGCCAAGAGATGAGCCGTTGGCCGGTCCAATAGAGAATTGACCTATGTACTACTATTCAGATAGTGAAATTTTCCTATAGGTGCTTTCCGTCAGCAAAGTCTAGCCGCTAGCACGTGCAACCGCAGGGCGTGGAGAATGCAATTTTGGGTTCATTCAGCCGTGCTTATGCCGATTGTTCTGCAGGATTAATATCAATTCCTCATGGGCAGGCAAATGGGAGTTTAGTGCGAGTTCGAGGTAAAAATTCTCATCCAGTGCCAAGGAGCTATGAAACGAGTGCGGTTGACAAAAGGTTTCAGGATCGCTGAGCTCACTAATTGAGGACTAAAGCAGATCCAAGTTAGACATACATACTCCATTCTAGACCCAGGCCGAGTGATAAAAGAATAGTTGATATATATACGACATCATATCCATATGAGGGCTTGAGTGACAAGTTGATGGATGTGATTTTTGCTTTAACGCTAAACAGGCCCCGGGGGGATGCGGGACTAGCCGCCAGGAACCCCAATCACGATCGTTTTTCTCATAACATCTTTGGTAACGGTATGTAAATCGGGGAAGGATCTAGGTATTAATACCTTTAGATCGTAATCTGCAAGTCGCTAAGCGACTCTCGTTTATGTACGGGTTCGTGGCTGCAATAGATGGCCGAGACCTATTATTGACAGGGTTGATTAATATATTAGCCCCCCCCCCGCTAATCCCATTTCTCCTTTTTAGGGAATTGCAACAAAATGTCATACAGCAATTGGATATGGTACGCCCAATCCAGAGACTACAACATACTTTGGCGCCAGTGACACCCCTCATATTGAATCTATAGGTGCGTATGTACTCCACTGTGTGGCTCGGGTGATGTAAGAGACAGACTTGTGGGGATGTTATGGAAAAGCCCACAGAATACGAAGCCCTCGGTACGTATGTGGCAGATTCGAAGAGAAAAAAAAAAAAGAAGAAAACGACAAACAATCGTACCGGGTTCAATTTCACTCTCAGTAAATGGATTCGAAAGGCATGGGAGAGCAGACAAGTGGAAACATTTATTCCGACTGAAAGGACTCTCATATGTGTGTAGACTAGGAGCCTGTGTTTTCGACCAGGAGAGTGCCAATGAAATCCCTACTGACATCGCGGTAGGAACTACTCCGTACTCCGTACTCCGTAGGTATTCATGTTTGTACGGAGTACTCCGTATTTCCCGCCTTCCTAAATGATACTAGCCAGCCGCTGGGGATCGACACTTCCCGATATTATTTCCAAGTGGAATTCTACCTGAATCAGGGACTCCCCCCTAAAGCTTGGATTGGTTAAATCCTCAATGCACTCGGGACAAAATTCCTTCGGCAACGCTCAGACCTACCTCTTGCTGAAATTACCTTACGGGGGATTCTCCGAAGATCTTTTGATTTTGAGTTACGTACACAATCTCACCTGCGCAATATAGTGCAATTTTTACTCGGCCCCATGCTCTCATGGCATGAGGCACAGCAAACGTGTTCTCGATGCTTACTCTCGAGCTCCCACATTGGAAAAAAAAACCACCCAAAAAAGCTCAAATTCTCGCGGACTACCAGTGACTCAAAAGGAAAAGAGTGTCAATTTCCATATGACGGCGAGTCAATCAGCGCAGATGAACCGATCCACCCCCTTGAACCTGTCGCAAGTAACGTCTCCGGTGGATCCTAACTACGGAGAGGATGGAGAAGTCCCCACTAAAGGAAAAAGAAAGATATCCAGTTCCGACAAGCGGGAGAACTCCCAGCGACTGAAGACAATCAGAGCCTGCGACATCTGCAAAGAGAAAAAGACTCGCTGTAGCGGGACTCGTCCCTGTGCGCGTTGCCAACGACTGTCGTTGGTGTGTGAATACGAAACCACCTACTCCAGGGGGCTTGGTCCGCCGCCGCTGCCGCCGCCACCACCGCTTGAACTGACCCTCAATAATCTGCCAGACGAGCAGCAGTTTCTCAAACAAGATGTGAGCTTCCCAACATCAATCCAAAAGCCTGCGCAGATTGAGGCTACTAGTTTTGCTCCCACCAGTGCCAATCTCTTGGCGGCGGACTTCCAAGGAGGCTACCTTGATCTAGCTTCAGGCAGCTCGTTTATCAACCGGGTATGTCAGAACCTCAACCAAGAGAAAATACCGTCCACCGCCTCGAATATCTCAGAGGGGCTCAGTGGCGATGTCTCAGATAGCCCACCTGTCACTAAGTTTGGGGATAAGCCGTATTCAAACCTCTACACGACTGATTTTAGCCTCCCTCCGTTGGAGAGAGCACTAGAGATGGTTGCCACTTACTTTGAATATGCCGTTGTGACCTACCGGTTCTTGCATCGTGGCCATGTCGAGCAATGGCTGCGTCAGATCTACCAGAGCAACTTTTCCGCAACAAACCTACCCACAGATATGATGGTGGGCCGGTGTTGTATTGTGTACAGCGTTCTGGCTATTGGTACACTTTATGAAAGGAGGGCTCCCGAGTCCGGTGTGAATTATGATGAGCAGAGGTAAGTTTAATATTTACCCAATTATTTATCATTTCACTGGCTGATGACTTGGGTAAAGCGAACGCTGGTTTGCCCTCTCCAAGCTGATGTCGTCGATTGAGTCGGGTGCACCACAGCTCGAGACAGTACAAGCGAGACTAAACCGAAGTCTCTATCTACTGGCGTCGTCCCGGGCCAGTGAATGCTGGTTCGCATTTGGAATGACCGTTCAATTCTTAACCGTTCTGAATATACATCGTAAATGGCCCTCCACTATGGTGCAGGAGGGCAAGGGCACATACCTGGAGCAAGAGCTTCGGAAGAGAATCTTTTGGAGCGCGTACACATTAGACAAGTACCTGAGCGTGATGTTCGGCCGGCCAAGGTTGCTGCATGATGAAGATTTTGATCAAGAACTTCCTGACGAGGTATCGGATCAAGACTTGTTGATTAATGACCCGAACTTGCGATCTGGCGTACCCGATGATATGATGATTGCATCTGTACTACATAACCGGTCGGTGCTTGACTTAAACCCTTGATCTGAGAAAGAACCACCTTAGCTAACCTCGACTAGGCTTTCACGGATACTCGGGGAGGCTTCGCGTAAATTATACACGCTCAGTCCACCTTCAGGATCACCATTTGAGGCAGTTATCCTGTTGACCCTTGAGCTAGATCGTTGGAAGGAGGCCGCGGCGCCATTGATGGATCGCTGGCGATCTCAGATTCATCAGCTCGCCTATTCTCACGCAATCATCTATACCACGCGCTTCTTTCTCTTGGACGACATCAAAGATATCCCTCCGTCGAGCATCGCCACCTATGTTAACAAATGCATCACGGCCGCCGAGGAAATCATGACAATTATCAATGATCTTGCCAGCCAAAAGGCCCTTATCCATGGCTTCTGGTTTACCCATTACGTGTGCTTCTCTGCCATCACTGTCGCTTATATCCACATCGTTAAACAGCATCAAGCGTCATCGGGCGATCCTTCGAGGAAGAAAGTGGACAACAGCATTCAGCTGCAATATCTTTTCAGCCTCGCGGAGACCTGTCAACAGCACTTGAGCAAAGCCACCTCACAGAGTAGTCCTAGCCGTCGCTATGGAATTATTCTGGAGCAGTTGCGTTTAGAGGTCCACAGACAAGTCGTGTGTAATCTCCGACCGGGAGTGCAAGTCGAGCCAGGTGATAGCCTGAAGAGCCTCAAGGCGGACAACTTTCTTCCGCCTAGCTTCCATACTGCCCCTGTCACTTCTGTCCCTGCTGTCCCCCCGAAGCCAGGGGTCATGGCATTCGACCCACTGCCCACCGACATTTTTGGTCCCCACAATGCGGACGACTCTTTCAAAATATATGACAACTTTGGCTTCCCAGACAGTTCTGATACTTCGGCCTGGTGGTCGCAAATCGATTCTTGGGTAAAATTGACCATCGTTCCCATATTGTTAAGCACGCTGACCTGGCTTAGGCGTATACGGATATCTCAGAGGATCCGTCGATCTTCCGCTTTTGAGCATACCGAAACCTAGCAATCGATTTGAAGTCGATGCCCTGACCTCTGGTGTGCATTCTTTGGCAACCTGTCCTACGCCGATAATGACAGCTCTACCACCAAGAGGGAAAAACAGCAAGCTAATTACACCTACATTCATTATGAGTGCATACCACAAACCACCGAGAACAGAACTTGCACTTGTATCACATCATGTCTTTTCTTATCATCATTGATTTCTTATTGAGTTTGCTGTTTACGCCCTGTTCATATACTGTAGAGACATTGAATCCACGTTAGCCCATGATTTTCATTACTTGGCCCTCCAAAAAGACCACAAATGGGCCCGGGCCCAAGGCCCGTAGCCCAACCAGCAGTGAGTGGGCTATAGGCTCAACCTTCGAAGCCCATTTCATGGGTTCAATTAAGAATTTGTAATCACTATATTCTGACCCTTCCACTAATTTCAAGAATATTAAATATGGAGGATCTTTTATAATTACTACATAAATATATTATCAACATTTAAATAAAGTCAAACCCGCGGAAGTCAAAAAACGTGGAAAAAATGTTAGTGTATCCCTGAGAATCAGGTACATATTTTAGATATACGGCGTCTGTGAGAGCACCACCACGTTCTTGATGAACCTCTATAATTTACAACGTTTCCAAATAGCGCGTTTTCTCGCGTTTTTTAACGTGATTAATATAGTTAAGTTTTTACTTGCAATATCTAAACTGTAATAATTGAATATTACCCCAAAATAAAGGTGAGAAACGGGGTCTATACGTAGAGTATTCAAAGACGTCACGTTTTCCAGATTATTTGCATTGTTTGGTACTTTTTGGGCCAGAGGACCGGGCCCAAAGCCCAGCCCATTAGTGGGTTGGGGCGGGTTGGGCTTTGGGCTTTGGGCTTTGTGGGCTTTGTGGGCTTTACGGAGCGCTACCATCAATGCATCACAAAACCCATGAATGAGCCCGATCCCTAGGCCCAAAGCTCAGCCCATGTGCGGGTTAGGTTGGGTTGAGTTGTGGGCTTTGGGGAGCGCTAATACTCATTTTAAAGGGCACTTTGACCTTATTGGCATCCAGATACCTATACATAGTAGGCTTACTTTGACCGTTGAGCAGTACATTACACGAGTAGGATTTGGACTCATGAGTTTAAAACCACCACAAAGCGTAGAGGAAAGGTTCAAGGACAGGACCACCAGATCAGTGAACAGACAAGTCCTCTATTCTTCTAATTCTCGATTGATCAGAACAGACATGTCAGAAAAAATGGCAACAAAGGTAGAAAATAATAATAATAGAAAGACATTCAAATGGCATAAAGAGAACATAGCTCGAACAGGGGCAGCGCCGGTAAAATAGCTACGTATTCGCACCCAAAATCCTCATCCAGCTCTCCGCCTCCCCTCACAAATCCTCCTCTCATGAACATTGTCACTAGAATGTTCGTTTTTTTTTTGATCAAAAGCTTCACCTGAAGAATTTTCAAGAGAAGGCCCCTGTGACAAAGACTTTCTCGTGCTTCATCAGCAAGCTGCAGACCAAGCAAATGGCTCCGGCAGCGATGATAGGCACGTAAGCACACTGGATCGCCTCAGTGATACCGTGGATGGCCGCAGCATATTCCTCGGAGCTTGCAGAGCGGAGGAGCTGGCTGCCCACGCCTGAGATGGCGTCCGAGAGCTCGTCCTCGCTGGCATTTGGGAATACCTTTGCCAGGGCCTGTTGCGCGTAGTTGACAAACAGAGCGCCGGAGATACCAGTGCCGAAGACGATTCCCATCATCTGGCCGACCGTCATAAAACCCACACAGTAGGGGATCTCCTCAGGCTTGACCTTCATCTGTGCGATCGCGAATCCGGCTTGGCAGAAGCAGCCGACACCGGTACCAAGGATGATAGTGTAACCGTAGATCTTGGCATCAGATGTGTGTTCGTCCACGGTGTCTGTTGTATGGCGTGAACTGTGAGTGTTTGTTTCGTGATAGATGGGGGTGAGTAGACGGAAGACTTACAGAGGAGAACACCGCCGATCAACTCGAGAGCAGCTCCAGCAATGTACCAAGGGTAATAATAGCCGGTCTTGCCCATGTATTGCCCGTTGATCAGATTGAAGGCGACTAGGAGTAGGATAAAGGGCAGGAGATGTACAGATGTCTCAACGGCCGTGCTTCCACGAGCGAATTGGTAGTAGATGGGCAAGTAATAGATGCCGATGAAGCTACCAAAGGTCGCCAACACTGTACTCAGTTAGGCTTTGCGCCGGAGTTGTGAAGAAAGTGCATGTGATACTCACTCATGGTAAAAAAGAGAACAATCAAGGTACGGCTCTTCCAAAAGTGCATGGGAAACATGCGGTCCTCAAGGCTGGTTCCGATGGTATAGCTTTGTTGAATCCCAAACAGGATGAACAATACACCGGCGCCCACAAAGAGGCCGATGCTGTTCGAGCTGCTCCATGTCCACAAAACTCCGCCGAGGTTCATTGCCATAATCGAGCATAGGAAAGTACCAATGGATAGCAACGCTCCAATGTAGTCAATCTGGCCAAAGCGCTTGAGAATGGGCACATCCTTCTGAGGTCTGAAGTCGGGCAAGAGGATGAAGTAAACTGGTGCTGCGACCGCCCCGACTAGCAGGTTCAGATAAAATGCCCAACGCCAGGTTGCCTTGCTGTCACCAAGGGCGCCGCCAATTACTGGCCCCAGAACTGTGCCGACACCCCAGATGAACCCAGTCAGGCTGAGATATTTGGGACGTTCAACGTTGTCTGTGGTCACCGACATCAGAGTTAACAGACCCATATACATCCCACAGCCACCAACGCCTGCAATGGCACGACCGACGATAAAGCTGTTGATATCTGGAGCACCACCGCAGAGAGCCGATGCACCCATGAACACGGCTGTGCTTCCGATGTAAAGCTTCTTTGCGGAGAAAGTGCCGTAGGCCTTGGACCAGATTAAGGTCGTGGCAGCGGAAGCTAGAGCAAAAGAAACACCCAGCCAAGGAACCAGGCTTACGTGGCCAAAGGTTTCAACGACTTTTGGCTGAACATTGGCCACCACTGTGTTGTCAAGTGCATACAAGAACAAGGATGACAGCAACGCAATAACCACTAAAGCCCACTGTCGATATAGAGTTAGCGAGGGATCAACAAGCATGGAGGGTGCATTATCTCACCTTAACACCGTGGACATCTCTTGGAGATGGTGGCTTCTCGAGCGAAGTTTCCGAGGGTGGCTCACACGATGAGCGTGAAGATTCATTTGGTTGTTCGGTTTTCATGGTGGCAATTGTTGATCTGTCAATCTGAGATTCAACCCTTTTATGAGTTATAGACTTCTGCCTTTGTCTTGGTTATTGTGGCTGAGATGGGTGTAATGATAAGTTCAATTGCTGGCGGATCAGGAGGTATTTATCACCATGATGCCCCTGGTCGATTCGACCACCAACGATCTGCTCCAGCGTACATATTCCCGACAGGGAGTTGATTGATTACAGATCATATCGGTGCAGACGAACGGGGCGGACCCGGAAACACGATGCAGGGCAAGACAAATTTGCAGCTCTTCGTCCTCTCCGAGATATGTTTATGCCAAGATCGAGGATCTCCGGCGGAAACAGTGTGGAGTCAAAGGGCTCAACGTTGCTGATTCGCCCGGATATCCTGTGGATCCCGGAAATGCTTTGAAATCCTCCAACGCCATCATGGTATCTTCCTCTATCAGGAGATAACATTGCAATGGTCATTATAAAAATGGTCGGAGTCACTCATGGGGTCACTCTTGGGTGGGACGTCGCATCAGTCCTTTGTTATATCCGGTCTAATACATGCCCTTGACCCGATAATATGTCCGCTCAAACAGTCACATTTCAGCGTCAGTCGACAGAACCCGCCAGTGTCGTCCGGATTTACCGCCATGAGGCGGTAGGTGACACCCCAATCCCCTCGGACTCGGTACTGATTAAGCTCCTGGCTGCTCCTGTGAACCCCCAGGATCTTTTGGTGATTGCCGGCCGGTATCCCGTTCAACCACATTATCGCTATAACGATGAACCTATCCCAGGATACGATGGGGTGGCTCGTGTTGAACGCGTCGGCACGGATGTGGACGCGTTAAAGCCCGGAGACCATGTTATCCCACGCGCCCATGGCTTGGGAACTTGGCGCACGGAAGCCGTTGTTCCCGCGACTGCCTTGCTGAAAGTGTCAAAAAGTCTGGAGCCTACAACTGCCAGCTTATTGAAGACGGGATGCTCAACGGCATACCTTCTGTTAGAGAGCTGTCCCTCCCTTGTTCCAGGAGACTGGGTCGTTCTGAATGCCGCAACAGGTTGGATTGCGCGTATGGTGGTGCAGTTTGCACTCCTTAAGGGCTGCCCGAGTCTATGTGTGATTCGAGACCGTGATGATGTTGAAGCCACACGACAGTCACTTCTTAATCAGGGAGCACGTGTGGTTGTAACTGAGTCTGAACTCGCCAAAGAAGGCCCAGCCGCGATCGCGGCCGGGAAGCGTATCACTCTCGCTTTGGATGCAGTCTTTGGGCAATCTGGCCAACGACTCGCTGCCATGCTCGCCCCCGGGGCTACCTTCATCAATTATGGGTCGCTGGGAGGAGCCGGCGGGGAACTAGTGCTGAGCCAGGAACTCATATTTTGGAAGCAAATCACTTTCAAAAACTTCAGACTGTCCCAAGCGCTGAGTCAGTACACAGAGGCCGCGCAGATTGACCTCCTCTCGTGGTTCACTGACCTCTTTGAAGAGGGCAAGATCATAGCACCAGTAATCAGTCGCGTGGATTGGGTAGAGGAGGATGGTGGATGTCTCGAGAAGAAGGTCCAGTCGGTTCTGAGCAGGGTCAGTGGCAAGGTAGCACCGCCTGTTGGCTGCACTAAGCATGTCGTGCAATTCTGAGTTTCTCTGTTTTATCCTTTTTGTATTCTCCTCAAGTACAAGCCTATAATAAGTTTCAATGACATTGCCGATGAAGCGAATCTTTGCAATCGAGAGTATAGAGTTTATACTAGACATCCGCAGAGCCTGAAAGCCCACTGGGCTTGACTAGGGCCTAAAAGGCACTAGGCAATACAGATATTCCGAAAAGGGCGACTTTTTTGATTGCTATGCTATATATAAGAGTAGATGACCGCTTTTGCGGCCTTATGATGTCTTACAAGGGTCTCGACTTTTTCAGTGGGCTTATCAGTAATTCTTCCCCAATATCTCCAAGATAGTTTGCCCCCTGTCCAGTCTGTAGGTAGGCGGCAGAAAAAGTGGAAAAAACATACTTTGTGTAAGAGACTTTTCTATACCTTTGGATATAACTTCTGATGACTGATGATGATGCCCAATTTAGACCCCGTTTCTCGCCTTTATCTCGGGGTGATACTTTATTATTCGAATTGATATACAGTAAATTGATAGTCAAATGGATCAATTACGTATTAACGTGTGAGAAAAGGCGCCATTGAAAATTCTTATAGATTATGGAGGTTCACAAGGAGAGTGTTAATACTCGACTCGCGCAACGATCTAATATATATAGTGACAACTATATCAACATCTCTTGGATATCCCGACCTCTATCAGGTTGATTCTATTTTTAATAAATATATACTCATATAGTTATTACAATTATGAATTTAAAAAAATTTCACGCTAAAAAATGAGTAAAAGAGCCAGCATACACTTATTTTAAGACGCTAGTTGAACCCCCTAAAAGGGCTTTGCGGAGGTCTGAAAATGTCGATGAAAATGTCGAAATAGCAGCCCGTGAACAAGAATATATCGTACCACAGACTTTTGATTTGGACAATTGAAACTACTAATTAAAAATATATCAATGCCTCCAAAAGTACTATGAGGTGAAGAAAAGAAAGAAAATAGTAACATCTTGGATGCCTCGAAAGTTCCAAACTGACATTCTTGACCGTATTGTATTGTAACCCCATTGTGACTGTACTGTGAGAGCCTGCCTGTCTATTGTAACATCTCTTAGCATTTCATTTTTACATGTCCCGTGGACCATGGTATCGCCCGATGATACGTATAACTGCAAGCAAAGAAAACCGAGACCAACGGAGTTATTTGGAAAAGAATGTAGTGAAATTTTCATTCATGTTCACTGTCTAGGTGATACCCTTCGCATGGTATCTGATGTTTTAAGTTACCGGAATTGTACCGCAAAATACTAGGCACAGCGTTACTTATGTGAAAATGAAGTGAACAGGTATATGGAATGGTTAAAGAAGTACTGAATCTAAATACACCTCAATGGGTTGGCCCCCGGTTTTAAATCCGGCCTAATCTGTATAGGCGCTCTCCCGTTCGATAATGGGTGCGTTGTACTTCCGAAGTGTATCCAACAATCCTGGAATCGGCTCATCAAAGTCAATCAGGCAGCTGTTCATCGTGCGAGCGAGGAACGCATAGATTGACTGGGTGAAGAACAGATCCATCAAAGCCTCATCTCCAAGGACCTCCTTGGCCTTGAGTACTATTTCCTTCTTGACACGATCGCGCAGGCAAAGGTCTTCGACCACCGAGCTGATCAGTCGCTGGCGATCGGAGAAGAGCTCTGTCGAGCTCAAGTCCCCAGAGCGGAGGCAGGCCAGTTGGGCTTCGGTGTACCCGAAAACTTGGGCCACGGGCTCATTGACATCCCACTCGTACGGTGCATCAAGCAGGGATGCGGTGCGCAAGACCACCAGTTGCCAGTCCTTTGAGCGCAAGCTGCGCTGGGGAGACCACGCACAAGTTAGAAGTTTCATGAAGGTTGGGAAAAAGGTAGGCGCATTGGCGATAAGCTGGGGACTGTTAGTTCATTACCAATTACGAAAGTATGGAGCACGATGTGAGAATTTACCTTGAAGATGTTGCGCTCGAACGGAAGTGTTCTCAGAGCCGCGCTGACCTCCTCCGGAGCCTTTGCGGAGTCAACATAAGGTAGGAGGTGGTTGTTGGTGACGTCGCGATTTTCCCAGGTAGTCATGATGATAAAGTAGAAGTTTTAACGTCGATGAAATGGAGTCGATAACTTGTGTGAAGAATGAGGAACCGTGCCTTTTTTGGATTTTTCAAACAGTTGATTGTGGTGATCGGGGCTGATTGCTGTTGAATTGGACTTCAGGGGATAGGTCCGGGGGCCTTTATACGTTTGCTTCTGCAGTGATTTATCTGCATGATGGCACGCAGTCACAGAGCAGTATGACCAGAAAGAATCGATCCCGGTACTTCGTTGTTGCTCCTTGGGGGTTAGTCAGGTTTCCGGGTCACCTGGCCCCACAATGTTTCCGCTCCGGCGCGCCGTGCCTCTCCTCTCCCTGGTTTGATTCTCAAACTCTTGGCATAATCACTCCGGAGAACCCCCTTCTGTGTCGGCACAGACCCAATCGTCACAAGAAATTTTCCGAGACGTCGAAGCGCGCGTCCGGAATCCCATAGTGGCGTTCCCCACACGGACGTCAATAATATTGGGGGTTACAATGTTGATCGTCAGTCCCGTTCCGCATGCTTTACATGCTTGGAGTGGCGCACTCACAGTTTCCGGGCCTTACATACTAACTTGATGATCTGGATCCATCTATTCCGGACCTGGATCCAACGGAGTCGCAACGTAACCCAGAATGCGAAAGTCGAATGGCTGCGAGGAACGAAAGGAGATGGCGCAACGCATGGCACGGAGACCTTCCTGGCCACGGGAATAGGTGATATGCTTGATGGCTTTAATCATGATGAAGGAAGCCTATAAAGAACGGTCACGGAGGCGTCTGATATTCCATCCATCAACACTCAAAAACGAGATCAGCAAAAGCATTTAGCACTTGAGAAACAATTTCTCGATTCTTCTTTTTTCGTGCTAGAAACAAAAGTTTTTTTTAAAAAAATCATCATCATGAGCCTTATCCAGCTGAACACCATGGACCTCATGTCCACTGATCCTTTCAGCCATGCTGAAGTATTGTACGATCAGAATTTGGGCAATCTTGAAGGCCTACTCCAGGGCAGCGACCTGGAGGTGGAATGGCCGGCGACCCCCGCCCAATGCCAAATCCTTGAATCGGACGAAATGCCCTGGTGTAAGATCAGCCTGATCTTGCCTCGGCAGTCTGTCCCTGATGTGAATCGAATTCAGTCGAGCTGGACGCAGCTCTGCTCCCACCGTGAGTCTCTACCTTGCCCCACTTGATTCCGAATCCGAAATACCTAATACAGATACAGACTGTGGGCTACGTACGGTATTCCGTTCGGATCCCCGATCCGGCCAGACGTATCAGCGGGTTGTGTATCGCACCCCTGAAATCCACTGGGATACTAAGCCTATTGGCAGCAATGTCTCTTCATCCAACTCGTCGCTAGCAGATGCCCCAGCGGATGATGATCTGGCACAGCTGGTTGTCTGTCGCCACCCCAGCAGCGGTAGCTATTACTTGACACTCCGTGCCCGGCGGGCAGCCGTTGACGGCACCTCGCTTGAGATCATCAAGCGGAATTTCGTTATGCTTTACTGCGGTTTGCCCTTGCCAGAGCACACCCCGCTGGCAGCATACCAGCGTTTCCTCAAGGAGACGAAAGACACGGCCAGCAGTATTGCCTTCTGGAAGGCTCAGCTTAGCGGTGCTGTGCCACCCGTCGCTCTCCCCTGGGAGACCGGTCTTTCAGACGTGAGTCGGGCTCCAGACCGCCAGGCCCTTCGCCTCCATCTCGATGACAATTCCCACCCAGGGCTCTCTCAGATTGAGCATGCTTCGGGGTTGCCACGCAAACTCATCTTCGAGACCCTATGGGCCTATGTCTTGCACTGCCACTCTGGCGCTAGTGATGTACTCTTCGCGGCTGTGGAACGCGATGCGAGCTTCCCGGATGCCGCCTCCTGTGTAGGCTACCTTGACCATACCTATCCCGTCCGATTGTCGGTGTCCAGCGAGGAGACTTTCGTCGGGCTGTCCGACCGGCTCACCAGCTTCCATCAGTCAGCATCCCCGCATGCCTACTTGGGATACGACGCTCTATCCCGAGATCTCGCGAAGCCTATCGAGTCAGTTCTAAGATATTCCCCTGATCCGAATGGACCGACACTGGCTGGTCAATTGGCGCCGTTTCCTCTGGCCATGTTCATTAATGGTACCGGTGTCATCACTTTGACCCTGTGCCATTCACCCCTCACCGCAACTGCAGATGCCCAGCTGCTCCTGTCACATTTCTCCCATGCCATTTACAGTGCGCTGAACAAATTTTACCTTCCTCATACTCGCCTGGAGGATGTCGAACTAGGCTCGCGGGAAGAAAAGTTGGCTCAGGTGCATACGGCTAAGGCGCTGGCTCGCCAGCACCAAACTTCTACTATCACGCGTTTGTTTGAGGAACAGGTCGTGAGAAGTCCCGAAGCTGCTGCGGTGCAGTTTGAGGAGGACAACCCACTAAGCTATGAGGAGCTCAATGCTCGCGCAAACCGGCTGGCGCGCACTCTGCCTCCACTGAAAGGCAAGGTGGTCCCAGTCTGTCTCGACCGCTCTCCCGACCTTATTGTCGCCCTACTCGCAATTTTAAAATCGGGAGGAGCATACACGGTGCTTGATCCAGAGGGGCCCATTGAAAGGAACAGTCAAATCATTGAAACCTGCTCTTCGACTGTCATCCTGACGAGCCGTCGTTATGCATCTACATATCTCAATGCTCTCGCAATAGAAGACTACATGCTCACGACAGGTACAGAAGAAATGTCTGCAGACCTGGATATCAGCATTGGCAGTGAGGATCCATGCTACGTGGTGTTCACTTCCGGCTCGACTGGCATGCCAAAGGGCGCAGTTGTCACTCATGGAGCCGCCACAAATGGAATGGCCTACCATACCCTGAATGGCAAACAGCGGTGGCTGCTCTTCTACAACCCAACTTTCTCCGCTGCACAACGGACGATGCTCTCGACCCTGACGCATGGAGGCACTCTCCTCTTAGCCGGCAAGCAAAGGCTGACGACGCGCCTAGCTGAAACCATCCGCACCATGCAGGTAGATGCCCTCGGAATTACGCCATCAGCGCTCTCTCTCATGGAGCCTAGTGACGTACCCGACCTTAAGCAGGTCACGCTGGTGGGCGAGAGCATCTCTCGTGAACTAGTTACCACTTGGGCCGATCATGTCGATCTTCGGAACACATTTGGCCTGAGCGAATGTGCCCAACTGAACTTCGGAAAGCGTCTCTCTCGTAGCAGCAACCCTGGCATCGTCGGACGCCCCACAGATACCACGCAGGCATATGTCTTGAAACCCGGTACCACTGAGCTGACCCCGATGGGCGTCGCCGGTGAGCTTTGTTTGGCAGGGCCGCAGTTAGCACTGGGCTACCTCGCCTCAAGCACTGCTTCTAAGAATTCAACTGCAGCCGCTTTTGCAGAAAATCCCTTCGGCGTGGGACGAATGTACCGGACTGGTGATGTCGCTAGGATCCACGCTGACACTTCTATTGAGATCCTGGGTCGCATGGACTTCCAAGTCAAGCTCAATGGACAGAAGGTCAATCCAGCTGAGGTCAACAGAGTTCTATCCCAGCACGAAGCTGTCCAAAGTTGTGCGACCGTTGCCATTGAGATGCGAGAACGACTTGTATTAGTGGCAGCTATCGTCCCCGCTCCCGGTAACCGGTGGAGCGAAATGGTTTCCTCGATGCGAGACCACAGCAAGCAGAAATTGCCGGCTTACATGGTGCCTTCCCTGTGGATGCAGATGTCTAAACTTCCGGCCAATGGAAATGGAAAAGTGGACATTCGCGCAATTGAACGTGAAGCACTTGCTAAAGGGTGGGAGGGCCTGGTTGAAGCGGGTGCCTCAGATGCTGCTTTCGAGGCCATCACCGACCCAATTGAGCAGCTTATCGCTGAGGTTTGGGCCGATGTGCTTGCTCTTCCTAAGCAGTCCATCCATCGTGACACCGCTTTCCTTTCGCTGGGTGGAACTTCCATTGAAGGCATCAAGGTCACTTCGGAGTTGCGGAAACGCGGCATAGCCATCGATCTTGGGGATGTACTTGGAAACGCCACCTTGAAGGAAACAATGTCTCTCGTGACAGTTGTGGAAGATGGCAGCGATGAACTGCAGCCATTTGCCCTTGTTCGGGACCTCGAAGTGCAGCAGGAACTTCATGCCGATCCTAACATCAGTGATGCTTATCCAGCCACTCCTCTGCAAGAGAGCCTGCTCGCTAGCTTGGGCGAGGACCAGGGAATGTATTCCTACCAGAGGACCTGGGATGTAGCTCGTCTTGACATTCGCAAGTTGCGAGAGAGCTTCAGCACTGTGCTTGAGTCGAGCGATATTCTCCGCACATCGTTTAAGCCCCAGGGCCGCAGCCTGCTCCAAGTGGTCCGAAAAGATATCGCCCTTCCTTGGGTGGAGACTACGGCAGACCTTGCAGAATATCTTGCAGATGATAAGAAACAGGCATTTTCTCTTTCCGGCCCCTTGTTCAGAGTGGCTGTCGTCTCCCAGAAAGTCCTTGTTGTCACCATGCACCACTCCCTGTTTGATTACTGGTCGCACCGCTTCGTCTACCAGGATGTTGCAGAAATCTACCTGGGTCTTCAAATCCGCCCACGGCCACAGTTTAAACACTTTGTGAAACACAACATGTCTACATCCCCAGTGGAACATGACCGTTTCTGGAGAACGTATCTTACCAATACGGAACCGAGTGTCATCAACACCGTGCCGGTGGACCAAACAACCGTGGCCCAACGCAAGCTTCCCGAGGGTCCTCTTCGCCAGTCGCTTCAACTCCATGGGCTCTCACTAGGCGCCGTCCTGTATGGAGCATGGGCCATTGTTCTTTCGAACCACACTCGCCATGCTGATGTGATATTCGCAACCACACTCTCCGGCCGTGACGTTCCTGTGCTTGATGTAGACCGCCTCGATGGCCCTACCCTGACTACTGTGCCTCAGAAGGTGAATGTGGCGCCCGAGACAACGCTCATTCAGCTAGCCCAAACTGTACAGGCGAATCTGTTCAAAATTCTGAAGCACTCCCAGCATGGTATGCGCAATGCGCTCGCTGCTGGAAACCTAGTAGCGAGTGGCTTCGATTCAATGGTGAACATCCTGGTGAAAGATCATGACGGGGATCAAGTCAATCAGATCTTCCAGCGATACGGGGATCGCTCCACCTGGGACTCCGAGTTCACCAACTTGGATGTTGAAAATGATGGCGAGGCACTTGTGATGAAGCTTTCATCAAAGATGGAGCCTCGACGTGTCGAGTTCCTTCTTGAGTCCTACGAAAAGGTGCTCCGGGTATTCATGCAGAACCCAACTAAACTCATCTCAGCCCTAGATATCATTGGAGAGGCGGAGACTGAATTTTTGTACAACGAGATCTCAAACAGGAAGACTCTACATGTGCCCCGTCCTTCGCTTTTGCATGCGAGCTTTGAGGATCACGCCCGAGAATCTCCCGATACCCATGCTATCGACTGGGATGGAGCAACCCAGCTTTCATATGCAGACTTGAACGCCCGTGCTAATCGTGTTGCACATTATCTGGTCAACATGGGAGTGCGCGTAGGAGACTCTGTTCCTCTGATGCTGGAGAAGTCCATTGATACCATTATTGCAATCCTCGGTGTCATGAAAGCTGGCGCCGCCTATGTGCCACTGAGCCCGGACAACCCGGTGGACCGTAACTCGTTCATCATCGACGATGTGAAGGCACGAACGATTCTGACCGAAGCCGAGCATGCCGATGTGTTCTCTATGATTCCCAACCTGAACATCGCTCGGATCGATACGCCAGAGATCGACCAGTTCCCTGCATCCTCTCCTGTGGTCCACACCGTTCCTGACAGCACTGCCTACATTATTTACACCTCCGGCAGCACGGGCATGCCAAAGGGAGTACAGGTACCCCACCGCGCTGCGGCTGCGGCTGTCGTCAGCATGGCTATTGCTGAAAGCAGACATTCTGGCGAGTGGAGAACCCTCCAGTTTGCTAACTATGTTTTCGATGCCTCGGTGCAGGATATCTTCAACACTCTTAGCACCGGTGGAACCCTATGCATGGCGCCTCCTGACAAGATGCAGTCCGACCTTCCAGGAGTTATCAACGCATTGTCAGCCAAGCAAGCTATCCTCACACCAACTGTCGCAAAGCTGCTTGAGCCCAGTGAGGTGCCCTCTTTCGAAACACTGATAGTTGGTGGAGAGCCCCTCACATCAGATGTCATTGCTCGCTGGAGTCCAGGGCATCGCATCCTCAACGTCTACGGCCCTACGGAGACCTCCATGGTGATCACAACCAAAGAGGTTAATCCTAGCGGTCGTCCAAGCAACATCGGTGTACCATTCCCAACAGTCATGGCCTTCATCCTGCACCCTGATGGTACTACCATGGTTCCATATGGTTCGGTTGGTGAGCTTTGTGTGGCTGGGCCTCAGGTTACTGACGGGTATGTCAACCGTGAGGACCTTACCAAGGCTGTCTTTTTGGAAAACACATTGGGCACCGACCGCATGTACCGAACCGGCGATCTGGCAAGATGGCTTCCTGGTGGTGAGTTGGAGTGCTTGGGCAGGAAAGACAACCAGGTCAAGATTCACGGCCATCGTATTGAGTTGACTGAGATTGAACAAGCAATCTTGAAGACTGGATTGGTTCAAGGAGCGGCAGTGCTAGCAGTCAACCACAACGGCAAGAAGCAACTCGTTGCATTCTGCATCTTCGCCGCTGGTTCCTGTGAAATCCAAGAGGCTGATGACCACCAGGCTGCTGCCAAGGACCTGCGAGCGGGTCTCAATACCCTGGCTCACTACATGATTCCTAAATATATCCTTCCAGTCGGAGACTTCCCCAAAATGCCCTCCCGCAAGACCGATCGGAAGCTTCTCACCAAGTGGGTCGAGCAGCTGGACACACTCACCATCAGCCAATACTCCTTCGAGGGTGACGGGTCGCAACATGAGGTTGTTCCCGTGGAGACCGAGGAAGAGTCAAAACTGCAAGACATGTGGTCTAAGGTTCTTGGTCTCCCCTCATCTGGCATCGGAAAGAAAGCAGATTTCTTATCTCTGGGCGGCGACTCTATTGCAGCCATCAGCCTGGCTAGTGTTGCTCGCAGTGCTGGATATCTTCTCAGTGTCAAGGATATACTGAAGAACCCGGTCTTGGAGAATCTCACATCAATGATGCGTCCTGACACAAGAGGTGCTCAAGTACTGAAGCCGAGCTACACTGCCCCGGACAGTGTGCTTGATGCTATTCGCGAGCATGGCATGTCGATCGGTGATAATGTTGAATATGGTGAGCATATACCTGCCGTATTTTCGGGTCTTATCCGTACATGATTTTGGCTAACTATTTCAAGTGTACCCATCGCCTCCAGGACAAGTCCAGTTCCTCGAAGAAGGTGACCGTTCTGACCAGATGTGGGTGCTGATGGCCGTTCGCAAAATGCCAGAGTCCGCCAGTTATCAAGACTGGATCCACAACACCAGTCGTCTGACGGAGGTCAATGACATTCTGCGCACCACCTGGCTTCGCACCTCGGAAGCCCAGTGGGCAGGTGTCGTCATGAAGCACGCAAATTTGGAGGTACCCATCATTTCCTGCGATAGCGAGGAGCAGCAGTCGGAAATCATCGAGGAATTCTGGAATGAGCGTTTCCAATTCGGAAAGCCTTTCATCAAATATGCTATTCTTCTGCATTCCGACAACACCTGGGATGTAGCCATCAAAATGAACCATGCTGCTTACGACGGTACCTTGCTTCGCACATTTGATGATCACTTTGCCGCCATCCGCCGAGGCACGCCAATCCCCAGTCATGGAGAGTTCAAGGACTTCGCCAACTTTATCTTCCAGTCAGATAAGGAGGAATCACTGCGATTCTGGGCTGAGACAATGAAAGGCAAGCATTATACCTGGCCCCAGGCGCAGAGCCCCAAGATCACCGCTGCCATCCGGGAGATCATCCCGCGGAACTTTGAATCTGTGGCTCGCGGACAGGGAGTCACCGTCCCCATTCTCTTCCAAGCTGCCTACCAACTCTGGCTTTGCCGCGCAAGTGGTCAGAACGATGTCAGCTTTGATTATCTTCTCAGCGGTCGCAATGTGGACATGGTGGATGTCGACCCTCAGACCATCAATGGTACCTTGGCCAACTTCCTACCGGTCCGTGCACAAGTCGATCCACACAGCGCCCTCGGCGACTACCTGGAAAGCGTCCAGGACATCTTCTGGGGAATCACCGAGCACGGTGATGTTGGTCTACATGAAATCTTCAATGCTGCCAATCTATCACGGGAAACTGCCAGCAATCGATGCCTTTTTCTCTACCAGCCATTCGAGCCTGCTGCAAACGAGGAGTCCGAGGCTGATCGGTGGCTGGTCATGGCTAAGTCAAAGGTTCGGATGTACCAGCCATATGCCCTGGTCGTGGAGGTTGCCAAGGCACTCAACAACCGGAACAAGCTCACTATCATGTATGACACGGATGTCTTCAACGAGGCCGAAGCACAGAAAATTGCCTCGGAGATTACAGCCCTGGTGGACCAAATTGCGGATCTTTGCGGCCAAAATGTATCCCTGCAGCAGTTCCTCCAGTGATTTGGCACATCTCATCCTTCCTTGCTTGCTGTTCCAAACAGCAATCATGTACATAGATCTTTCTGTCTCTTGCTACTTTTCTGTACCTTCCTTTGTTATTTTCTTTGGTTCGTTCATTTCTTGTCTATTCTGTCTATTGTGTGAAAACGCATTGTCCATACATTGAATAAAAGTTCCTTACTCCAAAATTCTCCAGTGATAGCACCGTACAAATTCAGTCTTTGCCTTACAGCAATACTTCTTGTTTTCAAGAGGATAAGTACAATTTATATAGTGAACATCATGCATGAAGTGGATGAAATGACGGCTAAATTCGGCAGGGCCTTTACTGGAAAATTAAACCTCCGTACAATATAACTTAAGGGTAATCACCCAAGTCAGCGCACGTCCAAACCATCACAATCCTATAGGTCTTGATAATTTCCTGCAAGAGTGCTACTACGTGATCGCCGGCAAATAGTTCAGTTGAAATGAAGTATTATCACTGTGCAGTGTGACGTTACAGCATACATGCACCCCGCATCAGAATGAGACAGGTAACATATCAGGAAAACCTTTACCACACTGGATAGATCCCCTGGCATATTTTCAAATTCCACCAATCTCAAAGATGAACGGCTAAAGATAAGTTCTGTTGAAGATACAATCTGTGGCCAACTTTGAGGAGATCAAGATACCGATGTAACTACTATGGCATGATTGATGTCGATCTCACTTTAACTTTAGTTCTTTATGTTCTTCATACTACCCTAGGGATATATTTGATATGTTACATTGAGGATGCTATATATGATGTGGGCGATAGAGCCATGAGCTCAGAATATCTGACACGGGATCGAACACACTTGATACTGGTATTCAACAACCTCATCAAACCATGGGACTCATCATTAATATATTGACGGGCATATGCGTGGCAACAGGCGCGTTGGCCGGTTCCTATCAGCCCAAGTTCCGCGTTTCTCCGATCGATGGTTCAAAGATTGCACTTCCAACAAAGGAGCAATTGGCGTTGCAAGACAAGGAGATTGGAGTTCTGATTCATTATGAAATAGCAACCTATCTTGACATTGATGGCTGTAATGAGGTCCCTGACCTTGTCCCTGACATCTCTCTATTTGACCCAACCTCTATCAATACCGATGGGTGGATGGACTCGGCTGCTGCCCTAGGCGCGAAATATGCCACCCTTGTCGCTAAGCATAACTGTGGCTTTGCCATCTGGCCTAGTGAAGTGACCTTCCAAGATCGGGAAAATCAGACTGTCCCATACAATTATACAATCGCCCAGTCACCGGTCCATGGCCAGAACGTCGTCAAGAGCTTTGTGGACTCTGCCAAAAAGTACAACATTGGGCATGGGTTCTACTATAGCGTTGTCGTGAACAATTACCTAAATGTGCAGGATTCAGATGTTCGTGCCGGCACTTGGGCTCCCGGCCAAGTCAATATCACGAATGGTACATACGACCAAATCGTCTATGACCAATTGAGTGAATTGTGGAAGAGCTATGGCATGTTGACCGAGGTATGAGTGAGCTACTGGTGATACGTGATTTACATTACTAATTATTTCGCTCCTTTGGCTCTATAAGATCTGGTTTGATGGAGGTTACAGCAGCGACCAGAAAGATAAGATCGAGACGCTTTTACAAGAAACTCAGCCCCAGGCGGTGATTTTCAATGGATGTGACACGGACGGGACTTGCGTTTCGGCTAACCCAAGTAAGTTGCATTAATGATTGGATCCCCTGGGGTGGAATAGCGCTCTAACATTCATTCCAGTTCGATGGATCGGAACAGAACTTGGGGAAGCACCGGAGGAAAACTGGTCTACGTATGCAAACCCAATCTTCTGAGTAGGCTGAAAACGAGATTGACTGTTATAGTGGTCTAACAAATGATGGCGGAGATCATACGAGCCCGTATTTTTGCCCTGCTGAATGCGACACCACCTTGCAGACCGATGATCGGTGGTTTTTCGGCGTTGATCAACAATTGAGGTCTCTGGAAGAGATGATCGGTGTCTACCATAAGACTGTCGGTCGAAACTGTATCCTTGAGCTAGATCTGTCCCCTGATCGAAGTGGAGCTATCTCAAAAGAACACGCAGCCCGCTACAAGGAATTAGGGGACTTCATCAACTCATGTTATGGCAAGCCTGTCGCGGGGAAGGCTGCCCACTCATCCAATGAAAAGGGCGAGTATATAATCAAGCTTGAAAAACCTACCAACATTGACCGCATTGTGTTGATGGAGGACCAAACGAACGGCCAAGTGATTCGGTCATACCAGGTGCATGCGAAGATCCTTGAGAACCAAGATGCCAACAGTGCCGCAGATGTGACTTTCAAACTTCTTTCGAATGGTACAAGTATTGGCCATAAGAAGATTGATATATTTGACAAGGCTGTTTTAGCGACGGAGATTTTGGTCAAGACCAAATATGTGGATATTCCGAAATGGAAATCTGTGTCGCTTCATCTTTGTGACTAAGCGGTGCTGACTATTATCCAAGTTCGGCAATTTGGTGAAACTTGGTACTCGTTTCATCAAGTCCCGGATGTTGCTTTCAGGGTAGTAGTGGCCTGAGACCTTGTTCGGGTGCTTACCACCCTGCTTATAATCCCGGTTGTGAGGGTTCAAATCGTCAAGGAGCTGTGCTCAGTATATTTTGGGCTACATTTTCGTTTCCCTAGGATAGTGTATAAGCGTTCGCAGCAGAACATACAGGCTTTGATGTATTAGGAATGTCACACAATCCACCAATATTCAACAGGACCGTAGACCCTGAAAAGTAACGTGGCAGAGTTCACAACCACTTCATACGCCTTGCAATATAACTCCCACCACCGAAGACGCCTGTCACTCCCGTGAAAACAATCAGGGATTTGTATCCACTCCCATATCTATACCCGTCGTCCCCCTCCCATGGCGTGTCATGAATAAGAGCCTTACTGAGGGGCCCAGAAACCGAGTTCCAAACGCATCTTCCTGCCGCAAGACACATCCCTGGGACACAAAGGCGAGGGTTGCCAGGATATCATTTTTAGCGGTATCACCCTCCTAGGCCAACCAGGCTCCAATAAACCCATTCAGTGTGGGCAGCTCTTTTAACTCACCAAGGAACGTTCCAGCATCATATTTAGCAGCACGTCTTGAGTTTCGCACTCAAAGACTCCGTAGTTGACTTTGGATTAAGTGCGATCGCCATAAGTGAGATTTGAGTGTTTATTCGTTTCCAAGATTACTTCCACGGCTACTTCGATGGTTAGGTACCTACCTACTTCCCGAGGTCCGTTTTCGCAATTTTGAACCAATCAGCAGCGTCAGATCCAATCTAAAGTGGAAATTACCCGAGGTTCCACCAACTGTGGAAGGCCCCATAAAAGTACTCCGTGGGGAGTGGGGAGTAGTTTGAACACAATTCAAATTTGAGATCCCTTCCTTCGATGCAACCGGGATGGAGGTCCTATGCATGAATGGACGATGAGATTGTCAAGCTGCATCGGATCCGCTAGTCTCGATTCCGTAGGAGTTCGAGGCCTGGGCATACAGAAGAGGTTTAGCGTTCATAACAATCCCATTGGTGTAAACTACAATGTACTGCTAATTAACCGGAATTTGCACCATGTTTCCGCGATATCTCGACCTCTATCGGCCAGGTTTTGTTTTGAATCAAGACATACCCTTATATAGCTACTATCATTATATTGTTAGAATACAAAGACTGTTTAATAAGTGGAAGGTTAGAATACAGCGACTATAACATATTAGTAGTGAGCTATAGCGGGAGCCTACAACACCCCTACGATTGGGCAGTGGGCTGGGCTATGGACCTGGGATCCGGGCCCATTTGTAGGTTTTATAATTCACTACTCTTGCTTATTATGGAGCCGGTCATCGAAGTACCACATGGCTGAGATAGCTTGGGGGCTATATATTTTACTATAGTGATATGGTAGAGTTCAGGCTGTATGGATAAGGCCCTATGAATTAACAAACTTACTTCATTGATAAAAAAAGATAAGGTCAAAACTATGAATCAAGCGGTGAGGTCTAGAGAAATTCAGTGGTAATCACTCGGGATAGGGAATATGTATCATCGCTATGACAGCTGCTATACACCATCGCAGATGTGGCAATGATGCGAATATTCCGGGTACTTCCACGCTGCTGATATAAATCTATCTATCTATCTATCTATCTATTCCAAACAGTCACATTGTCTGCGCCAACACTCCCGATCAAGGGCTGAACTCATCATCTCATAGCGCAAATTCCCAACGTGACATCCATCTATCAGTATACGTACTCAAAATTCGGGTTCTGCGCGTCAGTAAGATCAGCGAAGGCCGTGGAATCGGCCATAAGCTCAGCCTCGGCCCCTCTCTCCCGCAATTCCTCGCGCATCTTCTCCTTTCGTCGGTTCTCCCAGATAAACGCATAACGAAGAACAAAGAAAAGTATGAGCTCAAGGCAGTTGGCAACCAACAGAGAGCCGATACCCAAGGGGTATGCCGGTGCTTGCTCAGATTTGTAAAAGAAGGGACTAGCAATGTTGCCAATGCATGCTCCGAACCAGATCATACCAGATACGATCATCTTCTTGGACTGTCCACCAGTGTTGGAAGTAACAAGGGAGAGAGATATCACGAAGGATGCTTGGTATGATCCAGTGAGATAGCTGGATAGGGAGGAATCAGTCAGCTACTGCTTTTTCTAGACAAGGGTTGGGGCAACGATTAATTAGATTGACTTACAAGCAGATTAGTCGGCCAACATATGCATTGTCTGGGGCAAGCAAGAAACCGAGGGCGCCCGCAATCGTCGGAACCATGAACAGTGCGCAGACTAGAGTCCGGCTATTCTTCGGCATGTATTGGTTGGCGTATCCTCCAAGGACAATCCAAATGACGACGATTACTCCCTGGGGTATGCCGAGAAGTGCAGTATTGAGTGTGTCAAACCCGAGGCCTTGAATGACCAAAGTAGAGAAGTTAGATATTCCGCCGTTTGGCACGTTGGCAAGGAAGCCCAAGATGGTGAATAGCCACGTCTTATAATCGAGAAACGCCTCTTTGACCTGACCCCAGTTAACTTTTCGTCCCTCAATACCGGTCTGATTAGATCGCAGTCGGGCAATCATCAGGAGCTTCTCTTCACGATTGAAACCCCAAAATGTTGAGGGTGAGTTAGGTAACAGGAGGCCGATTGCAATCCCCCAAGCAGCGCAAAGAGCACCGATGATGAGGAACTCGTAGCGCCAAGATTGAAGACCACCTTTGATATTGCCAATTCCATAACCTAAGAAACGCAATTGGTGTTTGTTACTCAATGAAGTGATAATGAATGAAATGAAACATACCAATCAGACCGCCACCGGCAATACCAATACCGTTCCATAGATAGTATGCCGAAATACGCCATGGTTGCTCAGCACGGGTATAGTATGTAGAGACAACGAGCATGAAAGCAGGGTCGGCAATTGCCTCAAACGCTCCAGAAATTATCCTCAATGCTGCAAGCGCGCCGAAGTTCTGCGATGCAGCCTCGCACATGAGAAGCACGCCCCACATGAAGATGTTAAAGGCGAGATACCAAGCCATCCGGCTTCGTTGCATGAGAAGATTAGATGGGATTGCCCAAGCCAGCCATCCAAAGTAGAAAATACTTGATAGCCACGAGTATTCTGAACCGGATAGATGGAGATCGTCTTTGATGCCAAAGATCGCGGCGTAGGAAAGTGTCGTTTTGTCAACATACTATTAGAGACAGGTTGCGTTAGCTGTGGCCTGAAAAAGCGAATTTGAACCCACCAACATACATAGAAGAAGTAGCATATGCCCAGAAGTGGAAGGAGGCGGATGTCAAGCTTGCGTTTCAACCTTCTTTCCGCTTCTCTGTCGATAGCCTCATCGTTAGGGTATCTTTGAATGGCTTCAAGATACAGTTCACTATCTTCTCCTTGATTGATCTTGCCTGCCACCGAGACTTTGAGGTTTTCCTCTATATGCTGGACATCATTATCACTCTGTGCCCCCAGTACATCTGGAAGTTTTTCCTTTTTGTCCTCCATACCAAAATGCCAAAATCGAGATCAGTATTGACAGGTGTAATCGGGAAGGAATGCCAGAGAATATTTATGTAGCAGCAACAGTATATAGGGCGACTAGTACAATATAGAGCCCCGGCTTCGAGAGGCGGCAACTGGCAATCGAAGCTGGGCACAATTGCCATTGGTGGATTAAGTACATTGGTGGAATGTAATTTTGCGGGGATGTTAACCCACTGTGGTGACTTTGCCTGACCATGTACACTAACGGAAACTATCCTGGTACGCAGCATGGGGTAACCCGACAACTTGCATTCTGGTGGATTCCCCTGTACTTATGCTGACGACGGCACCTAGGCAAATGAATAAGATGATGAGTACACAATAAGCATGACAGAAAAGTTGATCGCTCGGCTCTCAGGCCGTAATGAAGTCGGACAATCTCCGACAACTGATGTTCACACGGGCTACAATATAAAAGCCGATGGATCTATTCTGGCTCAACCTTCTTCCCGAGTTCACCCGGGACTTGAGTACCTATTAAACCAGCATGTTCCACTGAGATAGTTGAACAATATTCAAACATGCGTATGACCCTCAATACGTAATATCTATAGCGTATGAGGGTGGGAAAGGCGCGCCCTCGGTTTTGAATTGCCGAAGGCGGCCACGATGTGATGTAATAACCATATTCCCTCGGTCTACTCTGTACGGATAGAGCCTATGTCGTTTCTAGTCGTAGCCCTGGAGGTCGGATGCTGATATGTGTGGGGTTGGAAAAGAACGTGGGGGCGGGGAATCGCTTCCCCAGGTGATGGCCACTGCCGAGCAATAGTAAGTACATAATGACCAGAAATCACTGGCAAATTGCGAGGCAACCGCTTCCTGAAGCTGCTACAAGATCCACAATGAAACTTTCTCCCAATCGGTGACCAAGATCGGCATATGGATTTACCTATCGGCGTTTGCATGCCGCCAAATGTCACATGAACTCGTACCGATAATATCAAACGGCCCACCCGATCCACCTGCAAATTAGTCAGAGGGCTCTAATAAAGTCACTAGAGAATTCCATTGAGACTGTCTTTTGGTCTCCTCAACTCACACTCGGGTGGGTAGTGTTGCTTAGCAGAAAGTTAGTTCGCCAGCCACTACCCATTCACTGGACGGTGCCTGGGATTGGTCCTCGCCAAGAAAGCTTCTTGGCCCAACACCTGGGAGTTGGGCTCCTTGGCGAGGTCAAGGAGGAGGCTTATCTTGTCCAATCTTTGGACAGTTGGGGTGCCTCTGTATCAATATGGTAGATACCTTGGGTATATCAGTGTGCGATCTTGTACTCAGGTTTAGCCGTCGAGGTGTGATACTGGCTACTGTCCGCTCGATTGGCCAATGGTGCTGGTAGCGAGGATGCAGGATATGATGACTGATGAGATGTGTGGCTGATCTTCATCTGTAGCAGATATTTGGTTGTGGCAAAAGTCACATCTCCCTGACCATCGCAAGATATCAGAACACTACTGTAGTTGTTGGAGCAAAAAAAAGGAAAGGGAGCGGGAGGCAAAGGTCGGTCATTGATCAATGATGAATGGGATTTGGTTCTTCAGTTGGCCGTAGAGAATATCCAGTGTGGTTAGACACCATGCTTCGGGTGTTGTAAGACATCCCACTTTCTTCTGCTGCAGTCGGCTGTCACAAGCCCATTGTGCTCAAACGCCTGACATCTCCTAGTTTGAGATCAGACCTCACTTTTGTTGTTTTTTTTTTTTTTATCTAAGCTCATAATCATGCCAAGTGAAATGGACCACGTGAGACTCTGGCGTTGCTGCCTAAACTGTCAGGCTACAAAATAGTGTTTGTTTGGTTTGCCTGTTTGGCTTGTTTGTTCTGTTCTGTCTGTGGCTGTTCAAGTTGCTCTCCCTCTTTGCTCTGCTCTTTGTCCTTGATATATTGTAGAAACTGATGATATTTGCATCCGTCCTGCTTTGCTTTCAGACAATGGATCAATCCTTATTCCTCCTCCTTGGTCTCTCTATTTCATACCCTAAACAGATTGTGACAACCGTAAGAGTCAAAGATGTCGACCTAGGACCCAACCCACATAGGTCTTGGACTTTTCGGTTCAACGCATCAGCCCAGGAACGATCCATCGTGCAACCCCCGTAAGGGCTCTCAGGCCTGGACTACACTACCTGGATAATGAATATATATACGGTCCGAAACAAAGTTAAGAGCCCACATTCCAAATTTTTAGAGATCCTGGTAGGTCCCCTGTCTGGAATAGAGTTACATATTCTGGAAGTTTGGCAAGGCTTGGCAATATCAAGCTATAAGAGACAACTTTGCACAAAGATCGGGTGCCATCCTCGGCACAAACTTGGTCAAGTTCTGCTCAGATAGTGGTGATCATCGTGACCAGTTTTTGACTCTCGTTTTCTACCCTTTGTACATCATATACAGGTGTGCTTCTCAAGTCGACATGGGAATTCTATTCAGAAAACAATCACATGCGCAAATTAATTAATATAGACCAGTTTCCCCGGAAAGCCAACCGATCCACCATATTTCCACACGTGCACACTAAATCAGGTCGGCCCATAAGATACCTTCCGACACCTAAACCGCCCGTCGCCAGAAATTGACCAATCTCCGAGTTTTCGTTCTCTATTGCAGCTGCACTAATCCTAACTTGTTGTGGTGAACTTTTGTGCCCAACAAAAATCAGGGATCGAGCTGACATCGCAGAATAACGATCTGCAGACTGAAGGATGTGCGTTATCCTTCGACCATGATTGGTCCTGCTTGCATTCCCCCGTACGCGAAGATGGTGTGCTTATGGTACCTGCGCCGAGATACAAAATTATATATAGAGCTCAATCGTGCAATTTCAATGCATATCTCTGACGTCTCACATTCGGATAATTAATTACATTATCTGGCTATGGTTGGAATTCTATCGCTCAAGTTACTGCCCTTGGTGGCTGGCTACGTCTTTGCTGGCGTTAGCTATCCAACGATTCCGACCGACTTGACTACGCCATTTCAGCAGCGATTGGCGGTCTATGGCCCTGATGGTGAGAACCCTGCTAGATATAGTGAACTTCAGTGAGGACTGACTCGTTTGTTTCTAGCTGTATCTGTCGGCTGGAACACCTTTCAACAGCTAAAGCAAAGTTGTGTGCTTTATGGATTGTCAGAAAGCAACCTGGATACCAAAGCTTGCTCATCTTCGTCGACTACCTACGACCCCTCCCGGACGTGGTCGAATGTCGCCATCCTAACAGGCCTAACCCCTGGGACAACCTACTATTATAAAATCGAATCCACCAATTCGACCGTAGGCCATTTCCTTAGCCCTCGCGCGCCCGGCGATAAAACCGCCTTCAGCATGGACGTGATCATTGATCTAGGTGTTTACGGCAAAGATGGCTTCACAAGCAAAAGCAGCAAAAAGGACACCATTCCAGTCATCGAGCCAGAACTAAACCACACCACGATTGGTCGCCTTGCAAAAACAGTAGACGACTACGAGCTTGTCATCCACCCAGGAGATTTCGCTTATGCAGATGACTGGTATCTCAAATTTGCAAACCTGCTTGATGGCAAAGAAGCCTACGAGTCCATTATCGAGCAATTCTACGATCAGCTTGCGCCAATTGCAGGCCGCAAGCTCTACATGGCCAGCCCAGGAAACCACGAAGCAGACTGCTCGGAAATTCCATACTTAAACGGCCTTTGCCCCAAAGGACAAAACAATTTCACTGAGTTCATGCACCGATATGAGAAAACTATGCCTCAGTCTTTTGTTTCCTCATCATCCAACCCAACGGCCCAAACACTGGCCCAAAAGGCCCGCACTCTCTCAAACCCGCCCTTTTGGTATTCCTTTGAATACGGCATGGCGCACGTCGTAATGATAGACACCGAGACAGACTTTCCTAAAGCACCAAGCGGCAAAGACGGCTCCGCCAAATTGAACGGCGGACCCTTTGGAAGTCCGAACCAACAGATCGAGTTTCTCGAGGCTGATCTCGCCTCAGTCGACAGGACTGTCACCCCCTGGGTAGTTGTCGCCGGACACAGACCCTGGTACTCAACCGGAAAATCGTCGAACATTTGCGGCCCCTGCCAAGAGGCATTTGAGGGCCTGTTTTACAAGTACGGTGTTGACCTCGGCGTTTTTGGCCACGTGCACAACTCGCAACGATTTGCACCTGTCGTTAATGGAACCGCCGATCCAAACGGTATGACCGACCCTAAGGCGCCCATGTATATTGTTGCTGGAGGCCCAGGTAATGTTGAGGGCTTGAGCTCTGTTGGCAGCAAGCCTGCCTATACAGAGTTTGCGTATGCCGATGACTATAGCTATAGTACGCTCAGGTTTTTGGATAAGCAGCACTTGCAGGTTGACTTTGTGAGGTCTTCCACCGGAGAGATCCTGGATTCTAGTACCTTGTATAAGAAACATGCGACGGATTTTGTAAAGCAGTGATAGAGATCGGGGCCTTTAATACATATCGCATGTGACGATAAGTCTGTGTTAATGAAACTGTGGGGTTTTTCATGTTTTCATTGGTTGAATGAAAGGAATTACTGTATATCTTAGAAATGATGTAGTGCAAGATGTTTGTTTCTGAAACAATCGAAGTTCGAGAAAATACTATATGCCAAATATGGAATGAGACACAGGTACATCATGGGGAATGGATCGCTGCCGTCAAACAGAGAGTGTTGCTGATGTTCGACGGGGGCCTGCATGTTCGGGCTAGCCCGGGCTAGTCCAGGGTATAAAGCACCAATTGAAGTGACTGTTTGCTGGGTTATTTGCATTGGACCCGGCGGCATAATGCATACATGACTCAGATTTCGATAGATTGTAAAATATTTAGCACCAATAAGACGAAGTTGTGTAGCGATTCAATTTTGAGGAGAATCGAATGGTATATCTCCAGCAAGAAAGAAAAGTATGTTATGGGTTGTATATGGAGAAAAGAAAGGGAAGAAGAAAGAGAGAATGCGCATCGACGCCAATATTTCCAAACGCCGTTCAATGTCCACAAAAGCACACCCCACGACTAATTGATATATACCTGAGCCCATATAACCGTATTAACCAAGGGCTCTAACTCAAATAATTACAATTATACAACACGTCATGTTAAAAATGTGGCTGTCATCGATGCGACACCTGACTGTTCCACTCCTTCGGGGGCGATGATGAATTGCCCACCCCAGAGCCTTCTTGGAAAGTCCATGGTTCACTCTGCACGACAGTCTCCGAGACAACAGTGATATCCTTGGAGGTAGGCTCAGACTCGGCTAGAATATGCTCATCGCTACCCCATGCGGATGCCTGCATATGCGATGGCGCAGCAGCGTTTGTCTTGCCCTTTTTGGTATCGCCTTCGCCACGGTTTGTCAAAGTTTGCAGACCTCGGCTAGAGAGCGGGTATGGCTGTCCTGATGTTTTTCCTCCCGAGGAACTGAAGACGTGGGAGAGACCAATTTTTCTGAAGCCCTTGCGAATAAGTGGTTGGATGATGGGCAGATTCGAAACAACGATTGAAACAAAAGTTTCACGACATGCCCATTGGGAGCCGGACTCAGCTCCGTCGGGGCTAGACTGTAATCAGTGTGTCAGATGTATGGTAGGTGATAGGCGTATGTTTCTATACAGGTATAGCATTATTGTATGGGACGAACCTTCATAATCGTAGCAGCACGAATAATTCCCGCTAACATGACAAATGTAGCACCAGAAAAGAGAATCATGAGAGGGATTTTTCGTTTCAGATTGAGGTTGACAGTCCAAAGAAGGGGAAGCGGGATTGAGAGAAGGTAGATGTCCGTGATAATGTTGAGAACGACAACGACAAAGACATAAACATGGGATTTGGTTGGCTGACAGAGATCTGTGAAGACAGAGTCAGATAAGAGGACTCTTATATCTGATGGAGATATAACTCACTGCCGGGGTCAGGATTGATCTGCCAAAAGGCATGGAAGGGCTGGCAAGACAGTAGCAGTGACAACGCTGCTGCGATGTATGTCACACCCAAAATAATATATCCCAGCCGGACTCGGGTGGGGAGGTGTTGGAGACCAGTCCTATGATATGCTTAGCGCATTGGTTCATTATGTGCAAGGTGATGTATGAAGCGCACGTCAATCGAGAGTAGAAGACTGCTAAGCTGAATTTTACCAGCCAGAGAATAGCCACGTAGAATGACCACCCAATAATCTGGATCTTAGATCCCGCAACACGATAGGACCACTCAGTTGAATTAGGATCCAGCGCTGCTCGCTGCTCAGGCGTCATGTAGCTGTTCGTCAGGCCCTGGAATTTGGCACCGACAAGGTACGCCGCTACTGTTTCAAGTATAAAAAAGACCTAGTAAAGAGCAATGGGGGTCAGTTGTAGTCCTTTCAATAGTGCAAATAGATTAGACGAAACAACATACCCCCGCCAATGGCATAAGATAATCATCAAGTTGGAAATTGGCTGGCCCAACGAGCTTCCATCGTACCATTATACGTATGATAATTATTAAAAGAGCCAAGGACAGCAAGGTCCATGCCTCAACATTCTTAGCCATTCTTCGAAGTCGGTAATTCGCAAAGCAGACAAAAGAACGGAAGATGAGGACGGGAGTTGGAGAGAATTAAAAAGGAACGCTGCAGCCAGACCGGCCCACTGGAAATCTCCAGAATGTAGAGATTTACTCCATGTAATGTTTTATACAACTAGCTTGTCAGGCTAACTACATAGTGCAAATAGTCAACCCCCTGGAAGATCATCCCTGTAAAGATCATCCATGGAAATTTGCATGAACCCCACCAGGTCCACCCCGATCCACCAGATCCACCCCGCCAAAGATAAACATATCCCTGTCATTGGTACGGGGGGCGATGATCCGTTTGCCCGACACGGGAGGCATATCCCGACCACGGGTCACACCTTGAAACCGTTACCAGGCGTTGTGGGGGTTATGTTACAAGCCAACTTATCATTGGCCAATTCATGAAGTAGCTCGCTGTGCACGTTGTAGAGCCTTGAGACTTGCATGAATTACTATATTGGGAATAGAGTCCCCCCCTATAGTTTGCTCCGCTGTCCTCCGTTGGAGAATCATATTTATTCTCCTTTCCTGATAATTTTTCGCACAAATTTCAAAGTTGTCTCCTGGTGCTTGTAATTTTGGTGATTCCAATCCGATATCTGCACCATCTCAGGTCATTACGCAACATGTCTACCTTCGATTTTGTCATTGTCGGAAGTGAGTGATCATCCTTCCGCCCTAAGTGTGTTAGCGTTTACCCCTCCGACAGGGGTCTCATTATCATAAATGGTTATCATGAATTGAGAGTACCAAACTTGAGAAATCAGACCTAACCCCCGCAAACGAAATGACACACGTATGCCCATTCTCTAAATTCAGATCTATCTAACACATATCACAGCTGGCCCATCTGGCTGCGCCCTCGCTGCCGGTCTCGCTAACTCGACTGCAAAGCCCCGCGTCCTCCTTCTAGAAGCAGGCGACAAGAACGAAGATCGCAACCTTCGCATCGACGGCCAGCGATGGCTCACATTCCAGGACCAGTCAATGAATTGGGGGTTCAAAACTACCCCGCAGCCGGACTGCAACAACCGTGAGATCGACTACAGCCGCGGCCGGTGTTTGGGCGGGTCCAGCTCCATCAATTTTGGCGTATACAGTGTCGGCGCCCGCGACGATTACCAGGAGTGGGCAAGAATCGTTGGCGATGAAACTTTTGCTTGGGGAAATGTTCAACAAAAGTTTAAGAACCTGGAGACCTTCCATGGGGAGATTCCGGAAGGCATAGATAAGAAGTATGCGAACCCAAAGATGGAGAACCATGGAAGTGAGGGCCCGTTACACGTTGGTTTCGCACGGGAGTGGGAGCGGGACTTAACAGACGTCTTGGATGTCTTCGAGGAAGCTGGGTTCCCGTTGAATCCCGATCATAACTCGGGAGATCCAATTGGCATGTCGGTGTTGATTAGTTCGGCGCATAAGGGGCTGCGGTCGACAGCCGGGGATCTCGTCAAGGAGGAATTGGACAACTTGACTATTCTTACTGGGGCCCCTGTGCAGCGTGTCCTCTTGGACGGAAAAAGAGCTGTGGGCGTTGTGTCAAACGGGACCGAATGTGAAAATGCGACCTATCCATGCTACGTGAGACCCAAATACTAATCCGTGTGCATAGACCGCGCCGAAAAAGAAGTCATTCTATCCGCTGGCTCCCTCAACGATCCCCGTATCCTGATGCACTCAGGTATTGGCCCCATCGCCCAACTCCAGCAATACAATATCCCCGTCGTCCAGGATGTACCCGCCATGGGCCAGGGTTTGCGCGACCATTGCTTCGTACCAATGGTGAATACTCGCACAGAGACCAGTACAGACCGGAAGGCATTTTATGGTGACAAAGCTGCCATGGACGCTGCGCTAAAGCAATGGCAAGAAGATGGCACAGGACCTTGGTCGAAATTTGCCTGCGAGCTGGGCATCGGCTGGTTCAAACTGACCGAACAGCTTATTTCCTCACCGGAATTCAAGGCCCTCCCAGCAGACGAACAGAAGTACCTTCTACAGGAGACCGTGCCGCACTACGAGATCCTCACTCATTTCCCCGTCCACTGGGTCATCCCGGATTTCCCGCCCGAGGCATTGAGCTACTCCTGTCTGCTTGTCTTCCTGTTCAACGCGCAGACTCGCGGTGAGGTCACATTGCAATCCTCAGACCCCGACGCTCCGCTCTCTTTCAACCCCAAGTTCCTAGCCCACCCATTCGATCGTCGACTCGCGATCGAGGCTTTGCGCGACTCGTTCCGCATCGCCAAGCACGAATCCTACACAAAGGACAACTTGGCAGAGCTGGCAATGCCCAAGGGCGAATCAGACGAGGATTTGCTCGAGTACTGGCGACAGAACATTTCGTCAAGCTGGCACATGACGGGGACGGTGAAAATGGGCAAGAAGGGCGATGTGGATGCGGTCGTGGATCCGGATTTCAAGTTGGTAGGTATTGAGAATCTGCGCGTGGCAGATATGTCGGTTGTGCCTGTTTTAGTGAGCGCGCATGTCCAGGTTGCTGCGTATGTCACTGGTGCGATTTGTGCAGAGAAGTTGATCAGCCAGTATGGCCTTTCAAAGTCGAGCCTTCCTTAAATATAGTGTTGATAGAGCAATGCAAATTATACGTTGTATACGGTATCTCCACATGGAAAATGAACTAGACACTTTTGTCGATCGTCTGAATAAGGAAATATATCGAGCTATCCTAACGTTCCGAGGTTCTTCCAAGGTTGCGGAGAAATTTTCCAAGTTTTTGCTGGTAAACTTAAAATGATTGAAAAAGACCCTATTCTGGTAATTTTAAGAGGCATAAATACCATACTAGCGTGACCCGGGGATTATCGGGGATTACTATCACCAATTGGGTAAGTGGTGGAAAGTAGTCCGTCCCCTCGGTACCTATAGGCAGTGGAGTTGGTATTGTTAGGGGGTTTGAGAGTTCTTGATACTTCCAAGATCATAGCCAGCACTATACCTTGAAGGCTTTCGTTAGAGCAGCCATAAACACTCAATTTAATGATAGCGCCAACCTGGATACTTGACTAACGAACCGTATAAGAGATCATCCTACCTATAATTAGACTGTGGCAAGCCCCATATACGTGTCGGAGGCCTCCACCCAGAAACCAATGCAGGACCCATCGAGGGGGCTTCCCTGTCGGTATGAAACTCGCATGAAATATGGGTCTGCACAGAATACCCAGTATTTTGGACGCTTGGCACGATTCATCATGAAGTGATCTACCCTGTGAAATACTCCAGCACGTAGGAAATCCAAGAAAATTGATTCGTGAATGAACAAAGTAGTGATATCCGCATCTTTGCTAGCAAATCTTTGCGACACCCCGAGATAATTGTCGCCGGGGTGTTATACTTGATGTACATGTTGGTGTGATCAGCCGTAGTAATTCACCAAAAGATCATGTGTAGGTTTCTAGGGATTGACCTATGAAACGTATTACTTGACATAAGATGTACATTGTGGCTAGATGTCAAATTGATATTCTGGTTTCTGGGCGAGGGCAGTAGTGGTGGCGTTGCAGAAGAATGCAATGACATAGGACTAACATAGACTACCTAGCAGATTACTTTGCTCCACCTCTTGACCCTACCATCCTGATATAAGAGCTATAACGATATCAAACAGCATTCTTGGTCTCTTGAACCTCCACATGGGCCGTGGCCCTTTCCTTCTCGTCATCCCGATCGAGCTGTTTATGAACAGCCGCAGCGACCTCGTTGGCCTTTTCTTTACCCTCGAACACTGCTTACGTTAGTTCTGTCCCTTGCAGTAGAACTGGACGGTCACTTACTGAACGACAGTTCCTCAAGAGTTCGACCCGAAGTTTCGGGGAACAAGAAGTATATAAACACCAGTTCAAATCCCAGCCAGCTGCAATATACTAAGAGCCACTTCCAAGCGATGCGCGTCAGACCAATGGGGTTCACGTAGGTGGCAAAGAAGCCTGCACCGCGGCCATAGAACTGGAACCAGGAGAGACCGCGTGAGCGGCCAACATAAGGGAACAGCTCAATCAGATACGCTTGTTAATGTCAGTATATTCCCACGTTATGAAGAAAGATGGAAACGCACTGTAGGTCAGAGCATTATAGCCCAGGTTATAGGCGGGCGTGTAGGCGAAGATAAAGAAGATAGTCAGAATGGCTGCGGATTGAGCCTGTGTAGTCATAAAACGCTCCATGGAGATGGTCCATCCAATATACACGCACAGCAAGGAGATCGCGCAGGTCAGGTACATTGGCCGACGCTTGAAGCGCGGTGCCGTCAGCGCCAGCGCAGTTCCGGAGACAAGGCCCCAGCAGGCGATGCCGATGTTGATCTTGGACTTGACCACGCTGTCTGTTACTCCGATCATGTTCAAAAGATCGCTCAGATAGTACCTATTAAATGTGTCAGCGAAGGCGAGGCCTATAGGGCAAATTCCACAAGTGAATGCATACGTGGTGAGCGTGTTGCCGGACCATTGTGTGAATAAGCCAAGAAAAGCGGAGATGAGCAGTCGACGACGCATGCCAGCTGTGCGGAACATGTCCAGCCAGGATTGTTTTGACTCTTCAAGCTCGATTTTGATGGTATGCTCGATCTGCGCGATTTCAGCCTTGACGATGACCGAGCCGCGGTCACCCTCCGCGTGATACTTGGTGAGGATGTCAAAGGCTTCGTCATAGCGGTCTTTGCTAATCAGATATCGGGGACTTTCGGGTAGGAACCTGAGCATGTGTAAGTGGAAGCAGTCGCGACAGCGACGGGGGCGTCCTACATCACCGTCGAGATCTGGATCATGGCGGGCGAAATCTGGAGAAGGGACGGGATTCGCCATGCCCAATCGGACTCAATTTTCACCGTCCCTAGGCCCACGGCTGCCGCAATCACCTGGCCGATGAAGTACGAGGAGTTGAATAGGGAGGTAAGAATCGGTCGTTCCTTAGGGTAACCCAGCTCTCCCAGCATAGACGATCCTGCGACGATGCAGAACGGGATTCCGAACCCTAGAAGCATACGCGCGACGATGTACATGGCCACTAGGAACCGTTAACGATATCCCAGAAATGATAGAGAAAGGTGTAAATACCGCCGTTGGAGAAGCCCTGTATGAGGGCCCCGACCAAGCTCACGCATGAGCCAAACATAATCGTCCATCGTCGCCCGACTTTCTGATTGAGGTATGGGACAAATGGCAGCGAGAGGATAGCTCCGAGGGAGTATGCAGCACCCAGAAAGCCCTTGAGGTTTGCTTCGATCACGTACTCGGGGCGATCATCCACGATCTTCCCGGTTTCTTGACCGAAATCTATATTCGACGGTTAGTCTCCTGTAAGTTCATCCTACATGGGGAAGACATGCACTTGTTCCAAGTATAAACAATCTGGACCGTGTTGATTATCTGCGAGTCGAATCCTGACGTGATCTCGATACCCATACACGCCGGAAACAAAACAAAATAGAGTCGTCTCAGATTCGGCTTCTTGTACCAGGGTGTACGGTCCTCGGCCAGCAAGTTAGCCAGCACAGGCTCGGCAACATCCTCCTCGCGCTGCTTTTTTATCGCAACCATGTTGAAATGCTGATGTTTCAACAGTCTTGATCTGTGGACCCCTGAAGACTTAGTGGGACCCAGCAATAGTTATATACGCTGTCTGCTTTATGCTTAGCATGTTGGCTCAGTTTCAAGCAGCCTAGATCCGCCTGACCCCTCAAGGTGTGCACAGACGGGCTGGAAGGCTTCATTCTATCATGTCGAGGAAGAAAATTCGGGTAGGATCCCCGCTGGAGAAATTACAGTTTAATTACCCCACGGGGTAGCTGGAGGTGGGGGCAAGCAAGAGCAAAATTCTGGCTTGCAAGGTCATGGATGTGATTGCTTGACGCCAATCGCACAGTCTTGGCACTTTATCCTAGCGTAGAGAAGGTTACCTGCAGGGACTTCGCGGAGTCTCCCCGAGAGTTTCAGGCCAAGAGTAAGACGACAGTTGCCGCAAGTTAGTTAGCGTGGAAGATGCATTGCAGATAGATTCTCAAAGAGGAACGGAGCTGTAGCAGCTCTCCCGTATAAAGTAATGTGGCTGAGACAAACTGTCGAGCTGAGAGGTGGTCTTCTACCACCATTGGACTACCTAGGTAGGTACCTGCCCCGGGCCTAGGAACTGGCTGATTCAGCAACTGCTTACCCCCGACTTACTGAGGTCGGGAGGTCCATATGAATTTGTAAGGAAAATCGGCTCATCTCGGAATACTTGCTAATAACACCCTCTCAGGCTATGAGAAATCCTAGCGATCTCTTGGAGACTTATAGAATCAACTCGTTCAATTGATTTTCTCGATCCGTTACAAAGAGATGCACCTTTTGTATATTTGTTCTACATATCCAAGTTGCCATGCATTAGCCACTCCAGCAGGACACTCAACTCTTTAATTCCACTGCCCTCCTCGCCCCAGATCTTCAACCGCTCAATCACCACGCGCACACAGTCTGCCCAGTCGGGAGGAATGTTCATATACTCAGCCGAGGGGCGCTGCGTCAGCTTTGCGCGAAATCCTGCAATAAGGCAAAGCGCATGGTTGAATCGGACTCGACAAGCTCCCCATGAGCCCGGATGTCGGAAAAATGGCACCTCGGTCTGGATACGATAGACTGCCAAAAGCAACGCCTCACTCGCTTTGACGCCATACAGCGCCGCCATCCCTGGGTCGAGTGGTACGTGGATGCAAAGGTATAGATACGCGCGGCAGAGCAACTCGCGCACCTCGACGTATCTCTCCCGGCTTAGCTTCATGAGCTCGCCCTCCTTCGGCCCGGGGGCGGATTCCAGAGGCATGTTGAAGCGGAGTGTATGTGGGAGACAGTCTACCCACTGCTGGAGTTGACCTTCCAGCTGCGCCAGGGTTTCTGCCAGAGCCTTCATGGTCGGCAGATCGATCTCGGGCGAGAGCACGCGAACCGCATTGCGGGCCCGGTTGAGAAGCCTGCGCAAGAATATCTCGGCCAGATAATAGTAGGAAGATTCTGCTTCAAGGTCTGTGGATGAGGGACTGGAGAACATCCTCCCAGGAGTATCGTTCGATAAGTGTCTCGTAGGGAAGCTCGGTAGAGAATAAGGAAAGTCCGACAGACTGAGGTCGCAGGGCGGAAGGTCTGTCAGTTCATAGCGAACCTCGCTATTGTATATCAGCCAGTTGTTTGAGGATATTAGGATTGTGGTGTATGTTCAACCATTCAGATTTCAAGCATGTCCAGTAGAGTCGCTGCTCCAGACCTAGATGGTTTAGATATATTCGCGATGGGGAGATGAAATCACCCACTCTCTTCCTGCGCACTTCTAATCGTCTTTCCCTCACGGTGTTTCAAACGATATGTTTGCCACAGCATGGATGCTGTCCGGAACATTTTCCAGCCCGGCATCGGCTCAATGTTGTACTGATACCAAATCCTATGCCGGCGTTAAACAATCGTATCTCGAAGCAGTTGAGAGAAAGGGGCTCACCCAAATAAACAGAGACACTGCACTCCTAGTAAAGTATCGTCAAGATACGCAGTTGAGATGCGCTTACGCGCCATAGCGAGGAAGGTCAACGATTCCTTCATTCGGTGCTCCGGTACTGACATTGACAGGTAAGTGACCGGTGGACTGAAGGATGGTTCATTATACGAGACCTCGCGGGTTTCATCGTCGGGATAATTTCCCCAGATAGCCGCAAGCGCAAAGATCAGTAGCACCAAGCATGAAGAGGCGGACCATTCAATTCCATTTTCTAACACTCGAGCGATATAGAAGTCTAGCTGCTCGGGGTCAACGATCGGGTTCTTGGTCCAGATCTTGGTCATGAAGATATCGCGCAGTTCGAGAAGCCTTTGGGGATCTAAGATTGGTAAAGCTGTAACTGCCGATTAGTATCCAATTCTGGGATATGTCATGTAGAGAAGAGCATACCCGTCTGAAAGCGATCTGGCTTCTCGGCATACGCTGCCATTGGGAAAGTCGACACAGGCTTCTCTTGCGGGAAAATAGGCCAGCTGAGAATCATATCTGATCCAGTAATAGGCGTCTTGAGTGCATCATTGCGCGAGATTGCCTCGGGATCTACTTCGTCCACTGGGGATGGCGATGCCTGTTGCGAGAAAAGAGGAGGGCCCCGGTTCAACGACAGGCTCTCTGACAGAAGCCGTTCTTGGCGCTCTACTGCATCTAGGATTTTTGCGCCCCATGTATCTAGACTTTAGACAGAATTGGTGATCATTAGATGTCTCAGCTAATGGAAAGAGCTCTATAGGAACCAACACTGAGATGGCGTCCGTCTCTGGATACTCGCAAGCTACACCCCGCTGGATACATTTGGCACACTCTGGCCGTGCCGAATCACATCGAGTCTTGCTGAGACGACAGGCATCGCATGCGGTGAGCACCCGAGTATTCCTGCGAGGACGCGGAGTTGACGAAGGCTCCATTCTTCATGGGGTTTCCTGCAGTCAGACACAGGATATTAAAAGAAAAGAAGATACGTTGGCAAAAGGCCAAGAGAATAACGAGGGTCGCGGTGATTGGCGATGCGCTAGGCGAATGGCTGAATCATCCAATCAAGTCAAGACAGCCTCGTTTAGCCGGGAAATTCCTCCAAAGATGAATCCCTTAAAGTCCCCGCCAATAAGTGGTGTGATCCACTTGGAAATTTCCCCGGGCTACCACTTTTTGGCTAGAGGTTCCAATCAACACTTCATACGTCCCTTGCTCGCTCTTCCACATGTCCTCGATCTCATCCCAGAAGCTGGTCGCATATCGGTCAAGCTGGATGTCAACTGTTTTTTCTTCCCCGGCCTGTAGGAATATCTTTTCAAAACCTTGTAGTTCCTTGTTTGGGCGCGGCGTTGGGGATTCAGGTGCAGAAATGTAAAGTTGGAGAATCTGGGCGCCCGCCAACTTGCCCGTGTTTTTGATCTTCACGGTGGCAACCGCAGGGTGGTCCATGTTGAAAACCTCAGGGGTGACAGTAACACTCGGGGAAACCGTGAAGGTCGTGTATGACAGGCCGTGACTATAAAATGGTTAGATGAGACTAGGAGACTAAGGAATTGACTCACCCAAATGGAAAGAGGACTTCTCGTTCAGTCTTCTCGTAGAATCGATAACCTGCGTAAATATCTTCGCCATACAGTACTCGGCCACCTACACTGGCGTAGTTCAGGTAGGCCGGGTTGTGTTTCACATCGACAGGCCAAGACAAGGGCAGCTTTGCGCATGGATTGACTTCCCCAAATAGGACATCGGCAATTCCATGACCCGTCTCGTTGCCTCCATACCAGGCCTGCACGATGCATCGGGCTTGATCGGCCCATGGCATGGTAACTGGTGTACCGGACTGGTTGACAATGACGGTCTTGTCTGCGGCGGCCTTCAACACCTTTGAGATCAACCGGTCAACTCCCGGTGGCAGATCCATATGCGTGCGATCGAACCCTTCAGATTCCCAGTCCTTGTTGAGCCCTGTGCAAAGAATAGTGAAATCGGCCTTTGCAGCAGCATCCACGGCATTGTCGATCATCTCATCCACGTTCATCCGTAGACAGGCCCCCAGATTTGCGGCACCGCCACCGAAATTTACCATTCCCACTGTTTTCATCGTGGTGGTGTTGGCAGAACCAAACTCAATCCGAATTCTGTATGTAGTCCCAGCAACCAATTCCTTCGATCCCAGCTCCTCAACAGTACCTTTGCCGAAGAATGCAGTCCCCCGCGTCTGGCTCGTGGTGTTATCTATCAAGAGCTCGTCGTTAATGTAGAGATTTGCGGTACCAAAGACACTGAGGCCGAAGTCCCAAAGCCCGGAGGTATCGGGCGTGAAGTCGCCAATCAGTCTGGCCCAGAAGAGCCCTCGATTGAGGCCAGGAGCATTGTAGTCCATGAACTGAAAGGCCGTCTTTGATACAGGCTCGGTGCTGATCAAACGTCGCTCGCCGCCCATCGGCTCGTTATAGAAATAAATGACAGCATTGCTTAGGAGACGGTCTATCACAGGGAGCATTTTATGGGCGTATGCGCCCGCTTCATAGAGCACCTCCACGTTGGGAAGTGCTTCCCTGCAGGCATCGTATAACGAGACAGAGTAATATGGCTCAAGCGACGCACTGCCACCACCAGATATAGCGGGAGTCTTCATATGAGATCCGATTAGGGCGATCTTTCTGATCTCCCTGGGGAGGGGCAAGATGCCTTCGTTCTTGAGGAGGACAATGCTGTTCGCACAGATTTTGCGATTCAACGCTCTATCCTCGGGGGAATCCCGTCCTCGCTCCACTTCTGACACTTGTACCTGACTCGCTTGCTTCACGAATTCCAATACTTTTCGCGCTCGTGCATCGATAGTGGATTGCTTGATCAGTCGAGCCTGCACGGCGGACTCGATAAACTTTCCACGGTATCTGGACACCCCAGGCATCTCCAGGTCAAGGCCCGCATTCATGGAGTCGACGGTTGTATAGGTCCCGTACCAGTCACTCATAACCAGCGGATTCCACTTCCACTCCTCGCGGATCAGATTGAGCATACGCGCATCTTCCACCACATGCTTCCCATTGATCTTGTTGTAGGATGTCATGAGCGCACCGGGCTTCGCGTCTCTCGCCACAATCTGGAAAGGTCGTAGGTAGATCTCACGTAAGGCTCGCTGGGTAACGAGGACATCCACCGCTCGGCGTTCATGTTCCTGGTCGTTTCCCACGAAATGTTTCACCGTGGAAATGATTCCTTTGCTTTCGCATCCGAGGATGATTGATTTTGCCAAAATTCCCGACAGATGCGGATCTTCCGCAAATGATTCAAACCCGCGGCCACCGAGGGGAGCGCGCGGCATATTGATTGTGGGGCCCAGCCAACAATGGGCCCCTTTCGCAATACACTCGTCACCCAGCAGCTTCCCAGCTTGGTATATCAGATCTCGGTCCCAAGTAGCCCCTAGAGCTGTGCCGCAGGGCAAACATGCGGCGGGGATACCGGCAAAGAATTTCGTGCCCCGAATACCATTGGGACCGTCAGTGGCGCGAATCGAGGGGACGTTGAATTCGGGGATAGGATGTGTATGCCAGAAATCAATTCCTACGCTTGTTAGCGAATGAGGTCTCCAATAATATCACCATCTCTATGTTACCGGATAAAAGAGCGATCTTGTCCTGGTCGCTGATGTTTACTAGAACATGCTCTACATCGAATGTCTCTGACATATTGAAACGAAATTAGGAACAATGTCAAGGAAGAAATGCCTGTAGTCTTCCAGAGCGACCAGCAACATATAAGTACCAGTTCATTTTGAACTTCTTGATCTGGACGCTGAGCGCTCAACCGAAACTCCGACGCGCGACACGCTGACGGCGGAGACTCCCCGGCTTGGTGGGGATCCCCACATCTGCCTCACTCAGCCCTATCCGCACCTATCAGGCAGGTTTCAAGTTCAAATACAGAAAAGACGGCACTTCCAGAATTGTCACCGAATCTCCCCTCCTATATCACACCTATTTACCCGTCTACCAACAGTTTCTCACATTGAATAATCTGTCAATACTATTGTTTCAGAGGCAAATTGTAAATCAATCATCATGAGACAAACATATATGGGCTAAGCGACCTGGAATATGTTGTGATATTTCAGAGGATATACACTCTCTATTTTGTTTTACTTCTTGAAAATATTAGGTTGCAAACCCTTGAGTAAGTATATTTGATTTAAATGTAGCATATTTTGGTCTTTATGTTATGAGGATAAGCACCCACCAGCTGAGCTGCTTCTATAAAAGCTGATAATTTTGTTGACCATGCTATATGGAAGTAGGGACAGGAGAAGGTAGGGCTCTATACCCCAGATCAGAGCCGCCGAAAGCCGGGGCAGCTGCTGATCGGTCTCGGGTGGTGACCGCAATTGCGGTGACGACTATCGCAGCGAAGATGCCAATAAAGCCTCACCCAGTAAGCCAGACGATATACTGAAAGCTGCAAACCGCCACCGTTACAGTAACAACCACACTTGTTGGAAATGACTACTACACTGTGTAGACCGCATAACGGGAGAGGACATCCAGACTTAAAGAAGCCCTAAAAATCTCAGATCGAGTAGCACTAATGTACACCGTATGTGACAGAGCATAGGACGCCAATGACCCCTTGGGCTAGTCTAAATCAACCTGTTTGCTTATATATCGTGCATATTTCGGGACTCTGCATCTTAGTATAGTTGTTTGCATAAAGTGTTTTCAATATTTCTGACCAAAATGTAATCCCTACAAGTTCGTTACAATAGAATTCTAGGGCATCCATCGTTCTATGTCTAAAAGAAATATGTACAAGTCTTTTTATGCTAAAAAAAAGAATGACATAATCAGCTCTAGAGGTGCATCAAAGCCAATGATTGGTCAAATTTGAACGAAGAAAATCAGTTCAAATTCGGCCAATCAAGGTAAGATAAAGGAGATGGCGGTAAGACTTCCCAACAAATCAGAATAGAGTAAATGTCATATATCTGATCGTCACTCCCCTCTGCAAGTCTGATACACATATGAGATACGACTACGGAGTATAAGCATCCTCGTATTGAATTGTTGCTCATCTTTGACATAAAACATTTGTCCACATGGATTCATCTAAGTCCCAGGGCCCAAAGCAAACCATATATCCATACGACACAAACCATATCAGTGAACTGCTTAAGCGCAAGCGCCGCACACGCGGCATCAAGTCATGTTTTCCTTGTCGTCACAGGAAAGTCCGCTGCGATGGTAATATGCCTTGTTCCAGTTGTGTGCAGCGTCACCACCCGGAGTTATGCTGTTTGCCTCCTAGCGCAGGACATGAGCCGCCGGCTTCCGATGGGAAAAATAGCTCTCTTTCTATGAATAAGGATCACGATGAAGAAATGCAGGGAACGAGCGCTCACAGGTATGATTGAACACTGTTTTTTTTTACAATTCCAGTGCTCGTCCCTATCTTGCTTTGCGGTATCTTCCGATGCCATCAGCATAGTATAATATCTTATATCTCCGAGGGCTTCCAACGTTCCAACCACTAACAACGCACTGAACAGTATCTCTAGTGAAGATCATACAACATATATGAATGAAAATTATAAATATCCCCCAGGGATTGATCTCATTCTCAGCCGGCTTGACAAGATGGGTGAACAGATATCTTCACTCAAGGCAGAGCTTCGTCAGACTCGCTCAGGTTCTCGGTCAGGCACAATTGCCCAAGCCGATTTGGCATCGTCTATAGAATCCTCATCTACGAGGAAAGGCTCTACACTTGCCAAATCCCCCGGTAAGCACTTCGTCGAAGACGCCACAGGGGCTACCATCTTTCTGGGCAGTCATTCTGATCCACCTGTCGCTCTGGGATGCCGACAACCTGGGAGTGATCCAATGCTCAACGACGCAATGCTCTCTGATCAGCTTGTCCCACGAACTTATCCGTTTACGAATCTGTGGAAGCAAGAGCCTGGAGCTGGTGAGATCTGTGAGACTTTACCTGACGAGTCAGATATAATCCGGTACGTCTCATGACTTTCAATGAATGATTATCATTGGCACTATCACATAAAAACTGAAACATTTCTTTTCTTGAACCCATCATATTGACTGAATGTTTCTAGATATTGGCAAGTCTATCAAACCAACGTCCACCCGTTTTATCCAGCACTAGTGACATACGAGCAATTCAATATATCGCTATTTGCGTTCATGAACAAGCGCACAGGGATGCTGCTGGAAAACGAGACCATGAGATTAGATGACGTGGATTCCTCGTGGCTTGCATTACTCTTTGCTGTACTTGCCTGTGGGGTGCAGTTCTCAAATGACCCCATCAAGGAGCGGGATCTCCGATGCAAGGTGTTCAGTAAGTTTAGTTTGAAGTCTTCTTCCTTCATACCTGGATCTAATTGCCCTAGTCTGCTCATCTTTCCAATGTCTCAGAGCCTCAAACTTCTTCAACAATACCAACATGAACCAGATCCAGGCTAAGGCTTTGATTGGAAACTGCCTGCGGAACAACCTTGATACGAACAGTGCCTGGATCTTAATGGGTATTTATCCCATCTTAGCCATATCCAGGTGCCAGAACTGACTAGTCATAGGATCAACGATACGTCTTGCGCAGAGTATTGGACTACACGAAGAGACAGCCTCAGACACACAAATTTCCAGCCTAGAACAATTCCAGCGAAGACGGCTATGGTACGTGTACTCAACATTAACAACATCAACGCTGTATTTCCTATTAACCCAAATTCTAGGTGGATGCTTTTATGGCAAGATACCTTTCTCTCGTTCACCTACGACCGCCCACCAAACATAAACAAGCTAAGCAGCGGTATCCCTCATGACCCAGACACAGGCCCAGGGTGGTCTTTCGCAGAATGCGTCTGCGCTATATGCCAAGTCCTTCTCGAGCGCGCACGACAAGACAGCACTGAAAGTGCCATCGAAACAGTATCCTTCAAAAGCCGAATGGCCGCTATATTTGAAGATGCCGCGCCGTTCCTTCGTGACAAATCCTACTGTCGCAGCCTGCAAGATCATCTCGAGCGTCTAGCCCTGAATATCCACATCTGCTACACAATCTGTCGTCTCTGTCGGCTGATTCTGGAGTCTTCATCTAGTGAAGCTCTTAGTCCAGCTGTTGATGTCGATTCCATCAAGATGGAATGTATTGACTGCGCTGCTCAGGCGGTGGAGAGCTTTTTGGATATGCACCGTCTTGCAGCGACCGTGTGTCGCTCGTGGGCGTTTGTTCATAATGCTGTTAGTTGTGCGCTCACCCTTCAAAGTTTGGTTGCCTCTGGCCCACAGCGTTCGCGTGCTGGAGTGCTTGTCCAGCGGTTGATTGTTGTTTTGGAGCGTGAGGGGCAGCAGTCTGTGTGGGAGGATACAGATACTAATGTAAGATACTTCGGTCCGTATTCTCGGGCGTTGAGGGCCTTGCGGGAGACTAGTGATAGCCACTGAAGGATATAATTGCATACGAGGTGGCCAAGACGGAAAACCGCGACGAATACGAGGGGAAATACGAGGGAAACTCCTAATCCTGTTGATTTATAATATATCGGAATCAATAGCTGAACTATCAGATGGCTTTGATTGATTTCTGCCTCGTTCTGTGTATAAACATCATTCACAAACCACACAGATTACAATCATTCCCTTAACAGAACCTGCACGATGTCTCAACTCCGCTACTATATCATAGACGTCTTCTCATCCATTGCCTACCAAGGTAATCCCCTCGCAGTGGTAGACACCACATGCGTCACACTTAGCTCCACCCAGATGAAACTACTTACACGACAATTCAATCTATCTGAGACAACTTTCATCTGCCCCCCAGCAGACCCAAAAGCGACCTGGCGTCTGCGATCGTTTCTGCCCAACGGAGTGGAAGTTTTCGGAGCTGGTCACAACTCGCTCGGTGCTTGGTGGTGGATTGCGGATTCGGGACTTTTGGGAGACATCGCAAAAGACACGGAATCAGGTCGGACCTACTTTCAACAACTAGGCAACAATGTCCTACCGGTAGATGTATCACAATCAAAGCTAGGAGAACTTGTCATCTCGATGGGACAGGCAAAACCGGAATTCTTAAATCAGCATACCAACCATGATTCCCTTGCTACATCTCTTGGGATCAAGGCCTGTGATATTGGCCTAAGATACTCGGATATTAGACTCGACCGGGCAATGGTGGTTACCACTTCACCTGCTCGTCATCTCTTGGTTCCGGTTCGAAGCATCAAAGTCCTGAAATGTGTCAAATTTGCCGACATAGAGGGAATTTCAAAGGAGCTTGCTAGCACCGACAGCCATAACAGCGGGATATATGTTTTCGCATTTGCAGAAAATGGGTGCGAGCCGGAGAATCCAAGATTCGAGGCCCGGTTTTTCAGTCCGGGAATGTCAATGGAAGACCCGGCCACGGGTTCGGCTGCTGGGCCTTTGGCTGCTTACTTGTGGGACAACAAAGTTCTGACTTCTGTGGAGAATGGAGTCTCTCGGGTTGAAGTCCTGCAGGGTATAGAGACTGGGAGGAGGTGTCTAATGAATCTCAGCGTTGAGCCGAATAAAGAAGATTCGGTGTGCATCACGATTTCCGGAACTGGTGTGCTGGTTGCAAATGGAAATATCATGATTCCTAGTTCTGAGCTTTCTTTTTCAGGAGGCCTTCCATGAGAAAATTAGGAGGTATCAGGTAAATTCTTTTGTACATACCATTACCTGCCATCTAATAGTCTAGCTAAAAAGATATCAATCCATATCAACGCCACAGCAATCTAAATAACAATGCTCAACACTCTATACAGCAGTAGTTCTTTTCTTTGCGCGAACATAGAAGTTCAAGGGCCGGATCAACTGGAATTCAGGATCATACTCGACTGCCTCAAGACCCTCACGAGTGAACTCATAGCGTGAGACAAGCTCCGACAACAAGATCTTAACCTCAAGCAGCGCAAAGTTAAATCCAATACAGCCACGGGGGCCCGTAGCGAAAGGAATGTAAGCGCAACGATGCTTGTTCTTTGTCTCTTCACTAGTCCAGCGATCGGGATCAAAGCGGAAAGGATCGCGCCAGACCTCTGGATTTGTGTGGATAGAGTACAAGTTAGGGACTATAACACTGTCAGGGGGTAGACGGTATCCACCGGGCAGGACGACGTCGGTTTTCGTCGTGCGACCAGGCTGGAAGGAGGCGTTGTGCAGGCGCTGGGTCTCCTTGACGAAGCAGTCGAGGAAGGTTAGGCTGTGGGCAAACTCAGGTGTCCAGTCAACGGGCTTGTCGGTATTGGCGACGCCACGCTCACACAGCTCCTCGTACAGGCGGTCTTGGGCACCTTCGTACGTGACAAGGCAATAAAGGAGCCATGACATCAGAGCAGAGGTCGTTGTGAAGCCGGCACCGGTGACGATGAGCATGTTCGCCACAATCAGACCTTCGGGGAACTTTTGGCCAGATTCGTCGACGGTGTTGAGTAGGTAGTCGACTACGCAGGAGGCTTCGACTGCCGCTTGATTCATGGGCATTCCATCAATACCGGAGCCCTTGACTAGGTCAATCTTCTCTTGTAGGAGGGAGTAGATTGTGCGCTGGACAAGCTTGAGACGGGCAGGATCACCAAAGGGAAGGTGGCGGTACCATTCACCTCGGGAGGTGATCTTCTTGTTAAGGGACAACAAACTGGCGATGTTGGTGACAATAGGGTGCAAAGGGGCGTCGACATCGGTAAAGTGTTCAAAGTCTGTGCCCAAAGAGAACTTTCCGATGGTCTGCGAAGCTAGCTTCACCATGTATTGGTAGGCGTTCCAGGACTTGCCGCGTGCATCAAGTTCATCGAAGACTGCGAAGGACTTGCGCACACACTCCTGCATCAACGGGGTGTAGTGACGCACTGCCTTTGGACCCATTGCTGGTGGTAAGAACTTATGGGCCAAGCGCCAGTTCTCAGTCTCGGTATCTCCGATAAAGATTGCTGTGTTGTCCTTGACACCCCAGAGAGGGTGGCTCTCGTTAATCTTTTTGGTCATGTAGACCGACTCGGTCAGGGCGACGGCTGCGACTTCAGGGCTATCAGTCAAGTATGTTGTCTTGCCCATGTTGGTGGTCTTGATAACATGACCGTATTTGCGGAAGAGTCGGTAGTGGTTGCCCAGGTGGTCGGGGAAGATCTCATAGAAGCTGCCCACGAGTGGGAGGCCCTCGGGGCCTTGAGGGCTTTGGACTGCCTGTCCATCAACACGAAGGCCAATAGGAGTAGTTTTTGATGAGGGTGCAGCAAGGATTTCCTCGACTGTCGAGAATTCTTGTTCGTTTTCTCCGTGGAAGGTCAAGCCTGATGCTGTTAGTACAAGTGATCCGTATAGTGACTAGGAATACATACCAAGTGGTGCAGCAACGTGAAACACGGCTCCCACAGCGCGCTTAACATCTTCAATCTTCCATTTGGAATCGAGAGTTACAGACTGTGCTGTTGATACTTCATCTCCGATCAAGTAAAACACAGGATCGGGATTTGGTGCTAGTGCGACAGGCATGATGAATTTTAGTTTAATATTTCAGTTGAACCATTTGAACATCACTGTTCTTAAATATCTTCAGTCTTTCATGGTAATATCCGAATTATCCTGTGGATCATTGGACATCGCTTTGTTTAGCACAGGATCGGCATGTAGATCCGACTTCCGACCTTCGGGCGAAGTTCGCACGAGGACATCGGATATTGGGATTCACATATTTTATGTTTATATAAATGTTTGGTGGATTTCAAGTCAGGGAATTCAATAATCTCACAAAATGTACACCCTCGAAGAAGTTCAAAGGCATAACAAGCCAGACGATGTTTGGATCATTCTACACAACAAAGTCTACGATGTCACCAAATACCTCGAAGACCATCCTGGTGGCAGCGCCATCTTGATTGAGGTCGCTGGCACAGATGCTACTGAGGCTTTCGAAGAAATTGGTCACTCTGACGAGGCTCGTGACGAATTAGTGCAATATTATGTTGGCGACCTGCCATCAGAGGTATGTTTTCCAAGCCCTAACATAAAATGACAATAGGCTGACTTGTTATAGGAACACGCCGAATCAATTGAGGTCTATCGACCTACCTTTGAGCAAGTTGCACAAACTGCTGTTGTATCTGTCAAGCCACCGCCCAATCGAATTCGTTCATTGGCTCTCTCTTTGCTCAAGCTTAGCATGACTGGCGCTTTGGGAGGCGTGGCTTTTGCTGGCTACAGCAACGGATGGGGCCAATTTGCCCCAATATTCAAGAAGCTATCGGAGAGCGTCTCAGCTGCTCTATCCAACCGCCCCAACTCCTCTGGTCAATTCTGGTACGGATTCGGAATCGCCAGTGTCGCCCAGCTGTCCATCACCTTCGGAGCGACCATGTGGATTTCATCCAAGCTAGACGTCCAGCAAGAGTTCACGCACCATTCACCGCACCGTACCGCTCGCTCGGACAGACTTATCTTCCGCAAGAAGGTTTCATCAACCGTCAAGAAGGCTCCCACCAAGGCTCTCACTGCAAGCCCACTCGACCCGCGCCAGTTTAAGAGCTTCCCTCTCACCCACAAAGAACTCGTCTCTCCCAACGTTTACCGATTCACCTTTGGCTTACCCAACAAAGATGATATCCTCGGTCTCCCCACAGGCCAGCACATTGCCCTGCGCGCTACCATCAACGGAAAAAGCGTCTCCCGCTCTTACACGCCCGTCTCCAACAACACTGATCTGGGCCGTATCGAGCTCCTGGTCAAGGTCTACCCCCAAGGTCAGATGACGAAGCATCTCGAGCAAATGAAAATTGGCGAAACTATCGAGATCCGTGGACCCAAGGGCGCGATGCAGTATACCACCTCCTACGCAAACCACATCGGTATGATCGCGGGTGGTACCGGTATCACTCCTATGTACCAGCTCATCCGGGCAATCTGCGATGATAAGGCCGATACCACCAAAATGAGTTTGCTGTATGCGAATAACACCGAAGAGGACATTTTGCTGCGCAAGGAGCTGGATGACTTTGCTCGTGAGAACCCGCACAAATTCTCTGTGCAATATGTGCTTTCACAGGCTGGTGAAGATTGGACTGGTCACCGTGGCTTTATCTCACAGGATCTTATCCAAACTTACTTGGCGCCCGCCGATGAGGACAATAAGATGTTGCTGTGTGGCCCGCCGCCTATGATTAATGCGATGAAGAAGACTCTCGCAGGTCTGGGTTGGAAGGATCCTAGTGCTGTTTCCAAGGCTACGGATCAGATTTTCTTGTTCTAAGGGCATCGTGGTGTTATCAGCGGGTGGAGTCTAAATTGTATAAAAATTTCAATCCGATATAGAGATAGAGATAGAATATTAGCAACTAGTTACATTTTCAAGCATCCTTTTGGTAACCTCTAGCTCCCACTTTCTGTCGGATACATTTGGTGTTTTAGATGTCTAAACATTGCTATTACAGCAATGTTGGAGCATCCGCATTTTCACATCCAGCGTCAGATTGATATTTAGAAATGACGTCGGTTCTTTCTTCACCTCGATCTAGATAGAGTCCGCGCTTCTAGAACAATCACCACCGGGATCGATCTAGCGTCAATAATAGTCAATATTAAATGGGAATCGAACGGTCAACACCGGACCGAACGGCAGCAGTTCCCGAGTCTTAGCCCAACAAAATGACGACTCTGAAGAATCTTCGGGCTCAAAGCTTGTTCACGATAAACATTCTGCAAGTTCTTCCGAACAGTGTCCGGGATGATTCCGTTGCGATTCCGAACCGAAAGCGTCCTCTATCCGAACTCCCTCCGATGTTGGTAGATCCCAAATCTACCTCACATCTTGGGCCTTATTGGCCTTCACAGACACGACACTACATCCGTAAGATCCGCGTGTTTATTCTCTTGGGGATTCATTCCCATAATGCCGGGTTCCGGTGGCGGGGCCCTAACATGTCCAATAGCCTTAGGGTGGTATATTGTGACCCAAATTCATTGAAGGCTTCCTGATGGATATGGATATGGTTGTGAATGCGGATCCTGGCTTCGAAAAATTTTATATATAACCTTGGAATGAAGCCTACACTCGACTGTCGCCCTGGTTGTGTTTGACCTTGTCCTAATCAAAGCCAACGCGTTTTCCGTGCTTCACGTCATATCTACACACTTTTATATACCAACACACATCTACATCGCCACCTCCCCTCATACTCCTACCTACCTACCTACATTATGGGTGTTAAGCCCAGAACTGACCGACCCGTCGCAGTCATCGGCGCTGGTGTCCTCGGCCGCCGCATCGGCTGTGTCTTCATCGCTGCTGGCTACCATGTCCACATCCGGGATCCCTCGTCGGTGGCCCTCCGCGACGCGGCAGAGTTCATCGATCACCACAAAGCTGAGTTCTCATTAATGCCGCGCATTCACAAGGAACGCGAAGGAGATAGCGAGGGAAAGGCGAACGGCCCTAAAGCCCCGACCTCTATCTCCCAGGTTGATCTCGAGTCGTCTACTTCTGCACCCTACGGGATTTGCAAGACATTTACTGAGCTTGAGCCCGCTGTTGCCAATGCTTGGCTGATTATCGAGGCTGTGCCCGAGGTGCTGCAGTTGAAGATTGATACTCTAGCGGACTTGGACAAGTATGCCCCGGCGGATTGTTACATCGGCTCCAACAGCTCCTCTTTCAAGTCAAGCTTGATGCTTGCTAAAGTCTCTCACAAGCGTCAGAAGAATGTCTTCAATATTCACTTCGCCATGCCTCCTGCTATCCGCATGGTCGAGCTGATGACTTGTGGTCAGACCAATCCCGATATTTTCCCATACTTGGAGGCTGTTTTGGGTGAGTGTGGCCTGCTGCCAGTGACAGCTCGCCGTGAATCCACTGGGTATGTTTTCTTCTTTCAAAAGCCGGACCACATATTGTATATCAGACTAACTCAAAGTGGCGTAGATTCGTCTTCAACCGCCTCTGGGCAGCAGTCAAGCGCGAAATCATGTGCATTCTCTCCGAAGGTGTCAGCGACCCGAGCGAAATCGACTTACTCTGGGAACACATGTTCAAGAACGGCCCTCTCCCCTGTCAACTGATGGATCAAATCGGCCTCGACACTGTCGCCTTTATTGAAGACAACTATATCAAAGAGCGGGGTCTATCCCCTGCTCCAACCGTCGACTGGCTACGGAAGGAATACCTCGAGCAAGGACGTCTTGGGAAGAAGAGCGAAAAGGGCGGCCTCTACCCCCCGCTCGCAAAATCCGCTTCCGCAGAAGCAACTCCAGCAAACCCACACAGCGCCGCAAAAGACATCTACCTGCTAGATGTCGGTCTCGGTGGAAACGCCAAAGATGTCTCACAAGTCCACTCAAACGGCAAAATCCTACGTCTCAACCTCGCAACACAAAAGCTCACCCCAGTCGTAGTGGGCCAGAACTTGCCCGATGGTATTGACGTATCACTGTCCACGCAGCGAGTCTTCTGGACGAATATGGGCCGCAGCACGGCCGGTTGTGATGGCTCTGTCTGGTCTGCTGACTTGGAGGGCGGCGATGTGACTTGTCTTATCCCCACCGGACAGGTGCACACGCCCAAGCAGCTCGCTGTTGTCGAATCACGGAAGCAGATCTACTTCTGTGATCGCGAGGGTACAGGCGTGCACCGCTGTGACTTTGATGGTAGTAATCACGTTGTTTTGGTGCAGCGGCGTGCGGAGCCTGGCTCGAGTCTGTTGGACCAGATGACGCTTTGGTGTGTGGGTATTGCTGTCGATGCTGAGCGCGGTGTCTTGTATTGGACACAGAAGGGCCCTTCCAAGGCTGGTCGTGGTCAGATCTTCTGCGCTGGCTTGGATATTCCTGCTGGTGAGACTGCTGAGAATAGAACTGATATCCGGCGTCTGTGGAACAACCTCCCCGAACCCATTGATATTGAACTGGATAGCGAGAGCCAGACTCTCTACTGGACGGATCGTGGTGAGCATCCTTTCGGCTGCACGCTGAATCGTGCGTATGTTGGTGGTGAAGATATGGATATGGAGAAGGTTATTCTTGCGCGTCACTTCCACGAGCCTATTGGCTTGAAGTTGGACAAGGCGAATAACATTGTGTATGTGGCTGACCTGGGTGGTAGCTTGTACTCGGTGTCATTGGAGGATGGAGTTAAGACTGAACTTGCGCGCAATGATGCTTGTTACACTGGTTTGACTCTTGTATAGAATATATACACAAGAAAAGTGAATGGGTGATCCGGATGTGGACGTGGACCTCAATTGTGATATATCTGTAACTGTGTGTAAAGATAAATTGAAATGAAAGTCGTGGGCGAAGGGGGGGGATTATACCCATAGCACTCGCACCTTCCCTGAATGGCACACCATCCAATTCTTTTTCCCTTATCTTCTTCTCTTGTCCCGAACCACTGGCCATTTCAATTATACCTTCTCAGCGAATACACAAACTGCGTAACTCTCCTTTCGGTCTGACTGTTTCATCGCCCCCACGCAACATGGGGTGAAACGGAAGTAACACTCCGTGCTTCCTATGTTCATATATATGCTATTATACGTACCGGATATTCCCTGGCGGGTAGGGCTTTCCTATTGAGCTACCGCCGCTTTTATGAGGGTGCTCAGGCTCAGGCTCACTGAGTATATCTAGCTAGGTATCTATTGAATCTATGCCCTATTTCTTCACACCCACTATACCTTAGTAGCGCCCACGTATAGGGTTACAAAGCCGGCGAAGGGCCTCTCCGCTAAGGGGGGGGGGGGTATTTCTATTGCTACCACTAGCTTAGTAATTAATTAAGAAGCTTCTTAGACTAAGAGGCCTTCTTCGGTAGGTATCTACCTTCGGGATTAAGTACACTTTTACTTCTACTTCTTATTAGCGGCGTATAATTCCTTATTTTCTTTAGTAAGTAAGATTGTACCTTATATTGTAAGATAGAAGCCTTTTATAAGCTAGTTTAATATATAATCTAATAGACTTAGTAGGCTTCGAGATCTTATATAAAATAAAGCTTTAATTAATAAAGCCTAATAATATAGATCTTTCTCTATAGCTAGTGTTCTTAGTATAAAATTCTAGCTTAACTTACTCCCCTAGCTTAGAGGGGGGTAGGGGTTTAAAGCTAAATATTAAGCTTTAAAATCACTTAGTTAGGTATAAATAGTACTAAACTCACTACTCTAAAGCTATTTTAAATAGTCTTAGGTTTAAAGGCTTTAATTTATATAAGGGGCTATAATTTAAGGAAGTTAAGCTTATCGATATAGTTAATCCTAGTCTATATATTTTAACTATCTAACTATATAATTATTTTAATACTATAAAATAGCTAATATCTAAAGGTTATAAAAGATAAGATAAATATACTAGTATATAGATAGATATTATCCTATTTTACTTATAAATCTTATTAAATTTAGCTATTGAATAACTTCTATAGCTATTAAGTATTAAGAGCTAATATACCCCCTTTATATATAAAGAAGTACTTAGAATAAAGAGCTTTTCTAGCTAATAAAGTCTAATTTTATTAGATATCTAGCTATTAGGACTAACTTCGAAGCGCTAATCCCCTAGAAGGCTATCGAACTATAATTTAATAAAGACTTTACCTTTAAAAATTATATATAGAGAAAGGGCCTAGCCTAAAGTATTTATATACTTAATAGTAGTTACCTACTCTTAATTTCTAGATTATAAAAGTAAATACCGACTATAATATTTACTCCTTATTATAACCTTTATAGTTATAGTTAATCCTATTATAAAAATAGTCTTAATAAAGTTATAAATATTATTAGGATAGATTCTAAATTAAAGAATTATCTTTTAAACTAAATTAAACTACTCCCTAATAATTTTAGGGTCTTTATATTTTATATACTTATAGTTATACTATTTTAAGAATTAGGAGGAGAGAAAAGGATATCTTTTAACGAAGTTTATAACCTAATTTTCGCCGACTAAAAGAACTAGGGTAGTTCTATATCTTTCGAGGAGAAGATCTACTATTTCTTATATAGTAGGGGGCTAGGGGGCTACTCTATAAGAATATATAGAGAGAATCTATTTTTTAAGAGATTCCTCCTTAGTTTTAGTTAATTTATAGTTATTAGTGTATATTTTAGGATAAAAGGTATTACTAGCGAGGTAGCGTTATAACGTAGAGTGAGGGACTTTAAATTAGTATACCACTTTATAAGTAGTGGTAATTTCTCGATTTTTAAAAGCCTAGATAGCTAATAAAAGCCTACCCTCTTACTCTATTGAATTTATAGAGGATTAAGAGCGAATTAGTGGTATAGTGGGTGGTTAAATTGACTAAGTGCTAATTCATAGACGCGTTTTGGATAGGGTGGCCCACTCGCTTGTGAAATACGTTAAGATAAAGCTTACCTAATACACCTTCCCCTATAAAATATTATAACCTATTATTAGGCTATAATATTATATCTACTAAAGTGCTCACACTATCTAATAAGGATATATCCTTAAAGTTAATATAAGAAAATAGATAAATAGAGAGAGACTAAGTTTACTATTAATATACCTAAACGAATTAGTAATAATAAGGATTCTAAGGATAATAATCCTGTTAGACTAATTAAGTATAAGTTTATAATAAAGATTTAGTTTCCTTATCTCTCTATAATACTAAATATATGGAAGTAATAGAGAAATAAGCTAGTTAATAGTGAAGGTAAGAGTAGTCCTTATCTCCCTTATTATAGAGATAAGGGTAGTACTTAAGGATACCCTAGTTTAAGAGAAATAAGGAAGTATAGTAAACCTAATAATACTTAATTTATAGTATATTAGTGTAAATATATAACTATAATAAATACCTAAGTTATTATATAAAGGCTTCTAAAGCTTATTTCTAACCTTAGTTAGAAAATTAAGAGTGGTATTAAGTTATTATATATATAATTAAATTACTTCAAAATATGGAGAAAAAATATATAAGTAATATAGGTCATAAGGTTAAGAAATTCTACTTACTAAAAAGGCCAATAGGCGCCTATAGTGTCTATAGATAATAGGCCCTAAGGGTAGGGCCTATCTATAGGTATGTTAATAGTGCCTATCGCCCACCTATATAAGGCCTGTGGGTACTACCCACCCGCCTGTCTATGGGCGATGTCGTAGTCTAGTTCTTATCTACCCTAACCCCCTATAAAGCCTAATTAGGATACCTAAATGGCTTTATAAGAAAAGCTCACTAAGGGTGGTAAGCTATAGTAAGTAGGGGGGGGGATATAATCCTAAGCGGTTTATAGGGTTTTTTATATACCACTTAGTGCCTAAGGCTTAGGGCTTAGCGACCTACCTAAGGTAGATAATAAGTAGTCTACTAAGCTAAAGCCCCGGCACTTCGGCCACCGAAGACAGGGCTTAGTGGCCCTATATAATAGGTTTACACTAGAGAAGTAAGCGAGGTACAGCTTATATAATTACTTAGCATATATCCTACGGCTAGTACTATCCAATAGGAACCATGCGATCCTTACAGAATCTCATAGCTTCAATATTCGAAGTGTGGTGACTAATATGATTTCTCACAACGCCAGGAGAAATGTCACGTGTTCTATTTACCATAGTATTACCAGTATTAAAACGAAACGGACCGCGTTGAATAGTGGCCAACGGCGAAACACCGCTAGCGCTAGTTAGTGCCCTTAGTAAAACCCCAGTGCCCGCAGTCGTTCTCTCCAACAATCCTGTTCAGATCCAAATCAACCCTCTTCAGTCATGGCGCCCTTGGGAGATCTTACTATAGATCGATCACAGGTTGACGACCTCAACCACCAAGCAATCCTAATCTGGACCGAGTTTCAAGTTTCCAAGGGACTAGAGCTGGATATCGAATGGGCTAGACATTTCCAGCCACTGCTTCGGGCCCCAGGGCACGAGGGTTCCGGGTATGCAAGAGTGCAGGAGCGCCCAGATACGATTCTTCTACTTACAGGTGAGTTGTGTATCAACCGGAAATCAAAGGTCGTCCCGCTAACTGCCACCAAGCATGGGAGAGAGCCTCGGATATGAGGGCATTCACGGCCTCGCCTTCCGCCCAGCTCTATCGGGAGAACCTCGAGGCTAGAGGAATCAGAGCTATGTCCTCTCGAGAGACATTTTCGCGGAAGAGCTCCGACTATGTAGGCCCCCGCTGGTTTGATGCATTAACCCGCTCTTACGTGGAATTGTTCTGGATATACTTTTCGATGCCGGTGACCGATACCCAAAAGACTCGAATTTCGGATTCGATTGGTATTCGTGAACCGCCTGTAGGGATTGGCGGTGTGCGGTATGGTGTGAAGCGTCTTCAAACCCGCTGGCCATTAAAGATATGGGCTATTGGAACAGAGCATGTGCATGGCCAAGAAGCTCAGTTGATGCTATGGCCACACTTCTGGACGGACGCAGAGAGCGCCGAGTATAGGCATGTTGGAAAATATAGCAACGGTGGCCATCTCATGTGGCACGCGAGAACCCTCCTAGAGAAGTTTGGTGATGAGCTAGAAAGCCTCGGAGCCTTGGAATGGAAGGAAGAGTTTTGTGATTTCAAGCCAATAACTCTTGCTTGAATGTCTTTTTCGGAAGAAAGCGGTCATGTAAGATACTCAAACGCTGAGCTTATTCGGGTTAGAGGGGTGTGGTGGCAAGGAATATGGGTGTGGAACGAGTAGCTCCCTACAAATAATAGCTGAGAAATTGTGAGCTATTAATCTGTAGCCTATTGGAAAATTTGCTGCGACTCTATGAATCAGTATACCCTCTCCGAGGGCTGAAGTTGAATGCCACGCAAAAAGTCCGGCCCCAACGCTAAGAGACCTTTTTTCGGTTGTAGTATGGGGCTGGTGCAGGTCAGGAAAAGTCGCACTGTCGGAATTGCTCCGAAGTGTCTATACTCAAGACGAAGTTGATAGGAAATTAACTTGGCTTATCGTTGTAAATGCAGGCTCATATAACTAGCGCTCTGAAAAAATAAAGTCAAACCATACCTCCGAATTACAACAACCTTCGCTGACTGGCTTTATGATTGGCTTGATACTTGTCTTTCTACTTTTCTCTCTAGTTCCCTTTTTGATGATCTTTGAAGAGATGACATAACTTGAGGCCCTTGCAGCCTTCTCGCGGTCAAACATTTTAAAAGTCCAAGTTAATTTTACCTCGAAGCCTTCCTAAGCATTCTTCCAAGGTTGTA